AATACCTATTTATGATCTTCTCATAATGGTGATTATAAGAACCAATGATCAGACGACTTCCAGGTGAAGATTGAAATACATATGCATCTCCAGTGGCATCTGTAATTGGCAGCCTTGTAACAGCAGTAACTGTGGTGATGAGAGGAAGTCGAGCTTCAGATTCCCCTGCCAACTCCAAATACTTTGTAACTTCAGTTCCAGAGTAGTACACTGTCGCCCTGTCCCCTCTATACAAAATAACAAAAGATCAGTTAATCCTACATGGAGTCTAACAAACAAAAATCAGCACAAGAATATGCAAGAAACCTGATGTCTTCTATGATGAGCTCAAAACTAAGAACACCATTAATTGGAAATCCTGGAATCGTCAGATGAACAACGCAACCTGTGACATCTGCAATTCAATTCATAGTAAGCAAATAATCATGAATACTTTCTGTGCAAACAACTTTCGAGGAAGATACCTCCATAATTCACAACGGTGGTAACTGCCGGTTAACCGGCTAACCGGCCAGCTAACCGCCACTTGGAACGACGCCGCATTGAACCCATATCTCCTAAACGGCTAAACCCTAATCGAGCACGAGCACGAGCAGCCCTCAATCTTTTCTGCAGCATCGCGACCCTCCTCCATCTCCCTGTCGCTGTGCCGCTGCCGCCTGTCCAACCCTCCTCCATCGCGAGACGGCGAGACCCTCCGAGGCTCCGACCATCTCCCTCCACCGGCGGCCCTCTTATCGACCATCTCCCTCCCCGACTTCCGCGAAGACGACGGCGACCCTTGCTCAGTTGCTCCGCCAGCGCGAAGTCGCAGCCTGCCATCCCCTTCCTTCAGCCGCCGCGACCCTTGCTGGCTTTGTGACCAACCCGGAAGACCCTTTGGTGGAAACTCCAGGGGAATTGATCTGGATAGTGTTCAGGCTGTCGCCTTTGCTGAAAACCCAATTCCAACAAACGGCCATCCCCAAATTCGATGGCGCCACCAACCGTCACCCGCCGCCGTCGTTGATTCTCGATCTGGATCTCGGGCGCCATCGTCGTCTGCCCTCGTTCATCGCCGTAGCTTCTCTGTGATCACCTATCTCGCCAACAATCGTCGCGGCTTGGTGTTGCTTTGGAGACCGCCAGACCTGGGGAGGTCAGGAGCATGGAGGGAGACGCTAGCGGCTAGCGCCTCAGCTGGAAGCTGCGGTGTGTAGAGAACCGGGGAAGAAGATGCAAAATTAGGGATTCGTTTCTGAAACTGAAATGGTCAAAACATTAAACGGGAAACGATTTTTATTTTTTCACGCCGGTTACTTCGGTTAACCGAGCAACTAACCGGTAACCGACCAGTCGGTTGCCGGCTAACCGAAGCGTTTCTTCGGGCGGTTGTCGTAGCCATGGCCTTTGTCTCGGTTAACCGGTAACCAGCATTTCGGTTATCGGTTATAACCGAACTAACCAAAATGCCAGCCCTACTTGTAAACAGCGTACACCTCGACAAGAAACCGACATTTTGTTTATCAGGCTAAGCCCATCTCAGTTTTCTTCCCCTGATTGGGCTTTCATCCCTTTTCGTTCAGTGCTTAGTGAGGGGTAGACTAATTTAGTAATTTTCAAAGGTTGTCAAACCGGTTTAGTACATTGCTCCAATTGACACAAGTGGGTTGAGAGGGCTTGGGATACAGTCAGTAACCAGTGGTTACTGACTTGTCAGTATTAAATCCGGGCCACAGATTTAGGAATCCAGCTCATCGTGCGGTTTGGCTGGACACGAGAAGGAGAGGGGTACTTTTGTCCATTTTTTAATTTTTGATTTTTTTAAAATTTATCTAGCATTTAAGAGCATCTCCAATGGTGCAAATGGAGAGAATTGCAAGCTGAGGTGGTAGCCATGTGCAATTGAAAAAGTGGATGGCATTGATGCAAGACCACTTTCAAGGGATGAAAATTTGCACACCATGAAAATCTGACATGCAATTGCAAGTGGGTCCTTTGTTTGTTTTTGTTTTTCTTTCTTCTTTTCCAACCATTTGTGTGGTATTAAAATGTAAGTGGGACCCAGAAGTGCAATTGCATTGGAATGGCATTGATGTAGCTAGTATGAAATTGATGAGTGAAGTAATTGCTAGAGTTGCTTAGGTGGCAGTAGGGACCACACTTGAAAGTGAAGAAGGATTGCATTATTGGAGATGCTCTAATAGTTGGCTTTCCAATGAAGGAGAGAGAAATAATCTTTTCTCTGCAACTCTTCTTTCTCCTTCTCTCTTCCTTTTTCTCTCCCAATCTTCTTCTACTTATCTAGATTTGCTCCCTTCTCTTCTTCTTCATTTTTTTCAGCAATCGACGAAGAAAAATTACAACCTCTCTCTTTCATTGCATTTCTTCTCTTCATCTAATCGTTGGCCTCAATTATGATCTTTCTCCTTTTTTTGGCATTTTGGTGTTCTTGATTGTAGAGGAGGAAATAAGAGGAGATAGAAGACGAGTTTTTTTCTCTCCCTCCTTCTGTTTTTTTTTCTTTTAGGTGATATATATTGATATACCACACTATACCATATAGTATTGGGTGATAACGAAATATATATTGGTATTACCACACACTACCATATGGTATTGGGTGGTAACGAAATATATATTGGTATTGCCACACTATACCATATGGTATTGGATGGTAACGAAATATATATTGGTATTACCACACTATACCATATGGTATTGGGTGGTAACGAAATATATATTGATGTGGCAAATTCATACAATATGGTATACTCTTAGTTAATACCAGTTAATACCATATGGTACAGTCAATACCATATGGTATAGACTGGTAATAACTGGGAATTTTTTTTTGTGTCAAAAAATATCAAAGTGGATATCATTTTGAAGAACACAATTAATATGATCCAACTGTGCAACAAAAAATTAAATTCCGACTTAAAACGAGTGAGAAATCGTCCGTTAAAGATTAAGGGAATGAAAATTAAAGGTTTTTCGAGGAAAGAGAAAGAGGTGTTGACGTGGTCCGGTCAAAAGTCTGCGTCATCAATAAATAGGGATAAATGCAATTTTACCTTACTGCCCTTTCGCATTTAATTTAAATAAAAAAGTGACTGACACGTGGGGACATGAGAATGGGTTACTGACCCATCAGTTACTCACCCGATCTGCTCCCGGTTGAGAGCTAATGATCTGATAGTTTTAACTTGTTTAGTTTTGAATGATGAAAATTCATTATATTGTTCATATATTTATCAATTATATCAAATATCATTTAACACGTAAATAATAATATATAACGTTAACTAAAAGAAGAAATCGTATTTGGATCCAACATATAGTGAAAATTCAAACACACTCATTTGACATCAATATTCAAATGTTGAACAGAAAAATCCAGAGGCAAGGTTAGATAAAGGGAAATCCAAACTAAAGGGGAAAAAAGACGTCGTGTGACTTCCAACTCGGGAACTTTGTTGCGGATCGACCCTCGAGTGTGTGGCGCATGTTTTTCTCATTGGGTCCAGGTCAATCCGCAAATTAACAACCTTGCCAATTTCAAAATTCATCATTGATTTCACAAATTTCTTTTCAATTTTGTCATTAATATAAGACAATGGACTCGACACGTTTAGCATCATTAATAGTCAATGTGGTGCAATCTTGGGGATAGGTAGGGGCTAACACTAGTTTTAGCCATAGGAACTGTAACACTCTAACCTGGCCGGGCACTAATTTTACTAAAATGCCCTTAAAAAATAAAATAACCAAATCTTGAATTTTAGCGGGAAAAAATTCATAATAAAATACTAAAAACACACTCTTGTAGTTCATAGCAAAGCCCTAACAAGTGGGCAAACTCAATACTAAAAATCTCAAAATGATCTCCAATCTGTACTCATAATCATAAATGTAAATAACTAATAATCTCTAAAGTTGTTGCTACTGAAAACCTTGACTAAGCATCCTCTGTGATGCTTATACTGCTCTCCTCTAGCTGGCTGCCCTCGAACTCGCTGCTTACTAACTGCTCCTCTAGCTCCTCAAACTGGTGAGTGAGATGGGATCAGTCTACGCCCTTACGTTTAACATCTTATTAATACTTGATCACTTTACTTAAGTTAGTATAAGTTGTTTCGTACTTCCACTATTAAAAATCTTAACTGTTAAAACTGTATTCTTAAAGCTCAAATCTCAACTTAAATTCTTAACTGACACGGGGATCCCTCACTAGCTAGTCCGATTGCCAACTCATACGTATGAGAAGCCATCAAGGCTTTCCTTAAACTTTAACTTATCGTGGAAAGCTCTTCTTCCACGATTCTCAAGAGCATAACTGCTGCTCATCCTAAAAATCTCAAGAGCATAACTGCTGCTCAACTTAAATATCTCAAGAGCATAACTGCTGCTCTGTCTCAAAGATCTCAAGAGCATAACTGCTGCTCTATCTGAAAATCTCAAATGGCAACGGACTGACGCTAGTGACTAAAAACACTTAAAACGACTTCACCTTCTTGAAGGTGAGTTACTTCTTAAAACGAACTTGTTTCTTAAACTTTAACAATAACTCATAACATAACATTTTAAGGTAAATAGCACAAAATCACCCCAAATAACCTCAAATAACACAAAATCACCTCAAATCATAGCTCAAACAAAACACAAATAATCAATCATAAATATAATCACTAAAATATTTAAAATCATAATACTTAAAAGAATATGTAAGACATAGAATTTACCCCATTTACACTCACCTTATTGATCAATTCGCCAACTACCCTAGGCCAATTGCTTTAACCACTGCGAGATGTCCACGTGTGCTCCATCCTTCCATGAAATTCCAACTTGTCCAATTCCACCGAACAACCCTTTCAATTCTCCACCACTATTATAAGATGGAGCTGTTGTAGGTGGCGGCACCTGATTATATCCATCATCATCTCTCTGGTTCTTTCGCTCCATCATCATCAAGGATGCGGCAAGAGATCAATAGATAAAGATCCCTCTACAAAGCCATGTCCACTCCCCGATCAATGCCGGTTGCTTCTCCCCTTACCAATAATTCTGGTCCCTCAATTTATTCCCAGCGTCTCAAATTCTTCCAAAATGTTCCAAGTAAATCCCTCCATCGTCAATTCCGTCTTCCACCCTACATTAAGTCAACGCCAAGCTACCAAGTCTTTCAACAACGGAGATGCCCGCAGCGCCAGAAGCATCTTCTCGATCGGACGAGTAGTTTGACGGTAGACAACGTAGGAAGCTGTGGGAAATTGACTACTCCCAGGTCATCGCCGCTAGGCTTCTGGCTTTGTTGGAGGAGCAATAAAATTTTTGTGGTGGCTCTTCTTGTGCCTGGAGAGAAGCCGAGAAGGGGTTGAGCATTCTTCGTGGGGAATAAATAATGGGAGGAGGATTTACGTGGGTGGGGAATGAGATTTAGGGTTAGCTTGAGTTTTAATTAGTTCAAGGGGTATTTTTGGGCATTTTATAAATTACGGGTGAGTTTAATCTGAAACTCAACTAACGTCCATAACTTACTCGATTTATGTCAAAACTCGACACCGTTTGAATTGAGAGAGCGCATTTTTAGTCCTCCTCGATATTACGGTGGAACTTGACCCAAGGGTATAATAGTCATTTTGACTTTTGGGAAGAGCGGGGTGTAACAGGAACATTTTCATTTTGATGGCTTTTTTTTATTCCAAAGGGTTGGCCACAATTAATGTTGATTTGTAACAAAAGGGGCATGCTTGCCATTGTTAAAAATTAGGGTTAATATATTTGTATGGCCTGAACTTTGACCATAATAAACTTCCTGGCCAATATTTTCGATCTATAACATCCTGGCCCAAACTATACATCAAAATAACGAAATTGGCCAAATCCAATGTTTGACCGTTAACTTGGACGGTCAAACTCGTTGACTAACGGTCAACGTCATTGCCAAATCAGCAACTTTCAATTAATTTTTTTTTATAATTTCCACCTATTATAATTTTCCTTTTATCATTTTTAAGAAAAAAATGAATCCCCTGCCCTAACCTCATTCATCCCACCTTCGCCGTCGTCCTCCTTCGATCACCAACAGCAGAGACCTAGAATCCACCGGAAATGGCCGCCATGCCGCCGCGAGATCAGCAACCCCACCGCGGGAAGCTCTGGTTCGGGGACAACATCGAGGATGAGTGGTTCGCCATCTTCCTCCTCTTCGAAATTTCTCGCAACTTCCCTTATCTCTTCATTCCCGCCTGGGACAACGACGATGAGTTCCTCCTCCTCGAGGCCGCCTTCCACCTCCCTTGTTGGATAGACTCGGAGACCAACAAATCGCGTGTTTATCCGTTGTGTCGATATCCGAATCGTCCCCAAGAAACGCCTCCCCAACCCTAGCTTACTTGAGTCATTGAAGTTCCTCGTGAATTTCAAAATCGATTATCGAGCGGCGGAGCCAATTCAGAAGGCAGTGAAGGACCACATTTGGGACTATCCAGAGAGAGCGAGGCGAAACACGCATTGTGTTAGGGTTAGAGTTCCGGTCTCGGTGGCAGGTGCTGATGCACGAGCCGTCGCCATCCATAATCACGCTCAATCTCTTCGACGAGAGCAGCCTGGAACTGAAACTCACCGCCGCGGCAGCAACCTCCCGAGCCTCTGCCTCCACCTCCCTCAACTACTAAAGTGTCTACACTCTGGATAAAGTCAAATATGCCTTAGAGAGGGTGGGGAAGGATCCCGTCCACGCAGCAACGGCGGCAAGGAAACGGTTCTCGGAGGGAAAGTTGTCCATGTCCCCGTCATACTCCTCGTCGTCGTCTTCCGTCAGGGAGCTGGCTTCGTGGGAGGAAGAAACAGAGGAAAGGGCATAATGAAAAAAGGATGTTAATAGGAAAATATTTTTTTTTTCAAAATGAAAAAGGAAAATTATAATAGGTGGAAATTATAAAAAAAATTAATTGAAAGTTTCTAACTTGGAAGTGATGTGGCCTGTTGACTGTTAGTCAACGCGTTTGATCGTCCAAGTTAACGGTCAAACATCGAGTTTGGCCAATTTCGTTAGACCAGTCGGTCTCACTGTCAGGCAGGCTTATACCATTACGCTCACGAGCAGAATCTTAGCTTGAGCCTACCTTCGCACACCTCCGTTACTCTTTAGGAGGCATCCGCCCCAGATAAACTACCCACCTCGCAGTGTCCCGCCCCCCTTCCGAATTTAATTTTTATGTGTAGTTTGGGCCAAGATGTTATAGATCGAAAAGATTGGTCAGGATGTTTATTATGGTCAAAGTTCAGGCCATACAAATATATTAACCCTAAAAATTATAGGGGGTTGGCCCTCATCTCGATGAGTTGGAGTCCCATCTGGTTTCTAAAATCAGATTTCTACTGCCACTTTGCCACGCTGTACCGAGTCCATGATAGATGCCCGAATGTTCAGCTTGGACAGCTAAGCAGGCGCCAAACTTTGAGACAAAACCTATGATCCATCTTCCCTGGTTATCCCTAAATACACTGCCCGCTCCAACAGGACCTTGCGCTCCATAGGCCGCTCCATCAACATTTATCTTGCTTCAACCTGGAAGAGGAGGGCTCAAGCTGATTTCTCTTGGCACGTGTTGAATCAGAGCAGGTCTACGACCCAGGCCGCCTTTTGGTGCCAACCAAGCTTTGTACCAAAGATTAGCTTTGATCTTTATAGCTTGAGTCAATGAGGGCGGTGAAAGCATCTTCTCTCTACCTTTAAAAATTCCTTCATTCCTGTTTTTCCATAAATTCCAAATAGCCATGCTGAAAAATACATTCCACGGCGTGTCATCCACGGTCTTGTTATCTTTCTGGCAGGTTTGTTGATAGCCACTAGATCAGATGCAAGCTGAAGAATTCATGTTGTTGTTCGGCTGGAACTGTGCGAGCCCAAAAAAAAGTTGTCGGAGGCAATCCCGGAGGATGTGAATCGTCGTTTCCACTTGTGATAAACATCTATAGCAGAAGGGGGGAGGGAGAGAGAGAGAGAGAGAGAGGTGTCGCTGGCACGTTGCTCACTGCAGTTGATCCTGTTATGAACGACCAACCACTTAAAGTAGCAAACTCTCTCCAAAACTTCTAGCTTCCAAATAGATGTCCAAACTTGGATCTAATCATTGGTGGAGGAAGGTTGCATGAGTTGGAACACGCATTTGGTTGAGAACCGGCCATCTAAAGTGGGCTGTCAGAACATTTGATAACACCTAAAAAGGTGATATTTACCCTTCATATTTAGGTTTGTTTTATGCTAATTCATGTGCATAATCGGAAGAATATCATCGATTGCATCCCTATTTAATTCCGATTGATTATGTCATTATTATAGAGTACTTTAGATGATACATGTGAATTAGGTACGAAAAAGGTGCACAAGTGTAAAAAATGGGACGAAGATCATGGCCGAAGGAGCCAAAATCCCATTCTTCGGAGCCAAGATCCCAACCATGAAGAGAGGGCATGTACCAAAGCACAAGATCGTAGCCTGCAGTGCAAAGATCCCGGTCGTGATCTTCTGCTTCTCACCCGTGAACTTGACCTGAAGATCGCGACCTCAAGTTCACAGCCACGAATTTTGGAGTCAAGGGTGTGAACTTTAGAAGAGGCCAGCTTGGGAGAAGTAGAAAGTTTAGGCCATTGTTTTATGGCCCACGGCTTCTGTGCCCGCGATAAGGATCGCGACCGTGACACCTCGGATCGTGACTGGGATGTTAGGCCGCGAACTTCACATTTAACAAGGCGAAAATGGTGACCCTCAAAGATCGCAACCACTACTCCAAAGATCTCGTCACGATCTTCTGAACCTTGCCTGCGAACTTGCCCTTAAGATCGCAGCCTCTAGATCATGGGCGCGATCTTTAGCCCCTTACCGTGTCTGCAAAATTCTACAAATAGGGGACTCCTCTCCCTTGAGAAGATGGCTTTTGGCAGATTTCTTATTCTAGAGAGGGAGATTAGAGAGAGAATATGAAGGAAGTAGAAGAAGAGGATGAGAGCTTTAGAGGAGGACTTCCATCAATTGAAGACCCCTTTCTTCATGATTTCTTCCCCTCTTTGTATGTCTTTTCTTCCCACCTTCATGGGGTGATCTCCTAAGGTACTAGGGGTTTTAACCCCCAAAACCCTAGTTTTAGGACTATTATGTAATGAATGAATATGTTAGGATTTTGAATGAATGTGTTTGTCTAGTTGATTTTAATGCTTCATCTAGCTTTAATTGTGCTTGGGTAAGACTCTCTATTCTTCTCTACTAGCCTACTTGAGCTTCTACGATGGGTATGATTGTATGAAGTTTTAGGGTTAGCTAGTATGCGCCATCTGGCATATTAGGCTTAGATGAATGAAAAGGGTCTTGGGGTGAACGAGGCAACCAGACCCCTGTCACAAGAACGCCTTCCTAGATGGAACCCGAGATGAAACCTCGGTGTGGACGGTGGGTTGTACCCGTTAAAAGGAGTTAAGTTCTTAGAGCCTCAGATATGTGAGCCTATACTGAGGCGACAATGGGGTAGGTAGGACGTACTCGGAGGAGTGTGGATAATCACGAAGGCCCACGGAAAAAAGCTCACTCACCATATTCGCTTAACCCGACATATTTAGACGTTTGCATGATAGACCTAGGGTAGGGCGATGGAGTTACCCCAAGTACCTTTTCTCATCAATCAATCTTTAGTTTAGGAATCACCAACTGCCCACCTGCTAAGTAATAGGTTGACTAGATAACGACCAAGCCTAAGTAGCCTAGGATACTGTGACCCTTGGAATACGACCGAGCCACTTAACTAAATCCCTAGCTTGGTTATACTTGGCCTTGTTATGATTGACTAGTGAGTGCGCTTCGACTTTATAAATTTAAAGCTCGATCATGCAAGCGATCAACATTACATCTTTTTCACTTGCAAGGGGGTCAACTGCGAGGGTTGTGATGCGATGGGTCACTTCGTCTGACAGAATGTTGCAGAATTTCTCGGTGTTCTAGGTTCCTTCCTCGTCCACAAAGTCGAAAATCATGGCATGCCTGTCTTCCTCCGGTATCAGTCCGGTGGCCACTTCTTGCAAGGGTACCTATGAAATCCCAACATCAGACTAAAAACATGTGAGGTTTCCTTTGTGGATATTCCAAGCACACCCCATTTTTCAGCAAGTTTCCAGTTTTGGAGATGCTGTTCCAGGTGAAGGAACTTTACTTTATAGGTTTAATGAGTCTGGGATGCTCTATCCTTCTCGCATTTGGAATGCATGACTTGTGCCCACAGAGTTTGTTTTTCGGTCATGAGTTGCCATCCACACTTGGCCAGCATAGCGAGGTTCACCTCTTTGGCAGGCCGAATCACAAAGTTCCCCTTATCTTTCGATTGAGTCAATTGAGGCCATCCGACTAGATGCTCTTCCTCTTTTCTTCGGAATCCCCATAAGAAGCCACGATTGATCGAACGCCCTGTAGACTGTTTTAGGCAGAAGCTTACCTGCATAGGATAGATGCGGATAGAAGAAGCTACCGCTTTAACTAGAGTAATGCGAGTTGCAATGGAGAGGTGCTTGGGTTTCCACGACACCAATTTTCTCTAAATCTTGAGAATAAGATCCTGGTATCTGCCCCGGGTCACTCGACCATGGATAGCCATGACTCCCATATATCTACCCAGATCAACCGTGAGGGGGATCTCCATGCGACCAATGTGAGCCTGAGCCTGCCATCTAGGGGTGTTGGTAGACACGAACATTGAGCATTTGTGTTAGTTCACTCTTTGACCCGAGCTGCTGGAGAATTCATCCAGGAATTGTTTTATGATTCTTATAAACTGCCAGCTTTCGGCTTCTGCAAACAAAACTAGGTCGTCTTCAAAAAAGAGGTGAGAAAGGGTCGGGCCATTTCTGAATAGTTTCAGCGATTTCTAAACCTTGTCCTGGATAGCCCGATCGATCTTGTGAGGAAGCCATTACATACACAAAACAAAAGGTAAGGGGAAAGAGGGACTCCCTAGCGAACTCCTCTCGACAGGGTGATGGTTTGAGAGAGATCTCCATTCTAGAGAAGCCGCATCTTGTTGTTTTCCACACAGTTCATTATGCAACTAATCTAGGAACTGGAGAGGCCAATTTCTTGAAGAGTATCTCGCAAGAACTCCCATCATAGCCAGTCATATGCTTCTCGAGGTCAATCTTCATCACGATCCCTCCCCTTTTCCCTTTCTTCTTCCTGAGAGTGTGGAGAGCTTCTTGAAGGACAATGATATTATCCGTGGTTTCTCTCCATGGAATGAAGCTGCTTTGGCGAGGGAAAACCAGCTTTCTCATGATAGGCTTCAAACGGTTGGTGATGATATTCGTATGGCTTTTAGACACACGTTGTTAAGAGAGATAGGTCTGAGTTGTAAGACCATCAACGTTTGATTACATAATTAACTAATTATTTTATATTTAACCTATTTAATTATTTTCTTATTAAACGACAAATGACTAATGGTGGTGGGTTCTCAATAGGGGTGATATTCAGTTTGCCGGTTAACGATATAACCGATAACCGGCGATTGCTGGTTATACCGTTAACCGAAGGATATGGTTGTCGACAACAAAATTTCTATTCTCGGTATTTCGAATCCTCCCCGGTTAGTTACCGGCGGTTAATCGGTATACCAAATATACCGAAACTCACCCACCCTAGACCCTTCCCTTGCCTATAAAACTTTCCTTTTATCTTCGTCTTGTCTTCTTCCTCAACTAGGTGCACAAGGAGGAAGAAGGAAGAGGCTCAGCCGAGAAAGGAAAGGTGGGTGGGTGTATGGATGGGTCACTAGAATGAGAGAGAAGATGATTGAGAAGGAAACAACAGCAGATCCGGTGAAATGGTCAGCAAGGCCAAGCAGATCCGACGAGTTTTGCAAATTCGGCGAGCAGAAGCAATAACAGATCTGACGCAATTTTATAGGCCTAACGAGATTTTGTAGATTCGGCACGACGACTCTCTATCTCCCTCACGCATGCAGAGAGTCCACAAAGGTGTTGCGATGACGGTGAGGATAAAATTGACAGCGAAAGCGGGCAGCACCGCTGGACCACCATAGTTCTGCCATCTATCCCGACGAACCCAACAACTCCCACGGCCAACGATGGCATCTTTGACCCCACAAATATTCGACCCTCGCCAATCCTCGCCTAAACCGCGGCTCCTCCATCAGTGATCTTATATGCGCCCAACTAGGCAAAAGAGGAAGAAAAATTCATCTAGCGGCAGTTTGGTTTTGTCGAATAGAGGTTGGGAGATTCGATCAGCGACCATCCTTTTGCATTTGTTTTGTTTTGTTTTGTGAATCGCATGATCGAAGGGAGAAGGAGAGAAGATGAAGAGGACCTGAGAATGTACTCAATTAACCGGTGCAAGTATTTAGTCCCTCTTGCTTACCGAGTTTTTGGCTAACCGGTAAATCGGTTAGCCGGTTAACCGATTACTGGGTACTAGTTGTTGGTAACAACTTTTGGCATTTCGGTAATACTGTTAACTGGTAAGTCGGTAACTGGTTTAGCCAAATACCGACAGAATACCACCCCTGATTCTCAACGTTTGGGCGGATTAATGCATAATTGGAAGCGTGCAGATTAATTAGGGTTGTGAATTCGGTTGCGGTTTTGCAGTTAAACTGGTAACCGCACCGAAAAATCGTGGTTAGTGGTTAACCAACCACAAAAACAACCTCTTTTACGGTCGTGGTAGGAGATATTAATGGAGAAGGGCGAAGGGCGAAGGGAGAGGAGTGAATGCCAGCCGAATCGACCAATAAGTGGGCCAGAGGGAGGGGCTCATTCAACACCACGCACGATGTGGTGCGCTAACGAGAACAGAGCCCTTCTCACTCAATCTCAAGCATTTACTTTTCTAGTTAGTGTTTTGCGGTTTAATCGCAACCGAAATCGCAAATACACCTAACTGCATTGCTAACTGCAACCCAACCCACCACTCATTTTCCAGACCAGCCCAATAAGCAACCCTACCCCAGACCCAGTAGCCACCGCCGACCCGACCCCTTCCGGCCTTCCTAGACCCTAGTTCCCATTTCCCCTGCGTGGCTGCGTCTGCGACTTCTTTCTCGACCTCATTCCCAAATTCAAAAGAAAACCCTAGTTCCCTGTGCCACCGTCCCTTCTCGACCTCGTCCAGAAAATCCCACTGCCACGGCTCCACCGTCCTTGATCCCTTGAAAATCCCTCCGCCACGCCACCGTCCCTTCTTGTCTAGAAAATCCCAGAGAGGCAGAGACCAGAAAATCTTCCCGCCTCTCCACCATCCCTGCTCGATTCGAGTTCAGCGATCGACGCTCATCGGCACAACACACGCCGCAGTGGCAAGCTCGATTTCCTCAGAAGCTCAGACGGTCAACCTCAGTTCCTCTCCACATTTGCTCTGCTCGTCGACATCAAAAGTCCAAACGGTTTTTTGTTTAACTGCAATTAGTCACACAGTCGCGGTTACATCGGTTGGTGACGCCATTAATCGCGGTGCACCTTTAACCACATTTTGCTGGCAACCGGTTCGGTAAACCCGAAACGATCCGAAACCGAATTAATGCTATTCGGTTCGGAATTCAGAAGGAAAATATGGATAGTTCGGAAACCAGGGTTCTTTCAACCGAATCGAATTTCCGCCGAAAAACCGAAAACCCGAAAAACCGAATTAAAAGTGAGAAGATACAAGTAGCTTCACAAAATCGATTTTGTGTGAAAAACCGAACCAAATTATAATTCGATTCGAATTCGATTAGAGGTTTGGGAGAATTCGGGGACCCGGTATTCATAATTTCAGTTCGATCGAAACATCTACAGTTTCCCACCCCTAAGATTAATGCATCTACACATAATATAATACGTCGAAGGGAAAAACGGGAGCTCCATTTCAAATTTCTTGCAACGAGAGTGAAAGTAGGAAGGACATTTTGGTCTTCACAATTACTTTTTTTATTCATTAAAAAGACACGTACTGGGATTCGAACCATGACCATTTTAAAGAAAAGCAAGAATAATAACCAATCACACTAAGCACATTTGTTGTATCTTTTTAAATTAAAAACATATAATAGCAGGGAGGAAAAAACCCTTCCCCCATTTCAAATTCCCTGCTCCATGAGTGTTTGTAGGAAAGGTAGAATAGGAAGTGTCAATTTTTTTCTCTTTCCTCTGTGGAACGGGCCAACTTACCGTACACATGCGAATTTAAACGGGTCCAGGAGTGTCAATTTTTTTTCTTTAAACCCTTTTATTTCTCCGTGGTGATAAAATATATATGAAAAGGAAAAACTAATACTCCTTTTTATTGTTAAAAATAAAAAATTTAACAATAAACTAATGCATGGTATCTAATGGGCTAACCGCTAACCATAAAATAAAAGAGTTGAATGGGCCTGACCTACATGGGATTTGGCCATCAAGTAAACAAATGAACATCATTGGTTTGTCATTCTAAAACAAGCTATTTTCTATTATGCTATTATTTTATATCTTAGTGGCTAAAATATAATGTATTTTAAAGTTATTCAATGGTTCAACCTCGACCAACACAATTAGTCCAATTTTTATCATTTCAAATATATATTTTATAATTATTTGATATCATAATGATCAAATTATAGTGTATTTTATAGGGAATCGTTTGGTATTTGTTAGTAAAAAAACTAAACATAACGATCTATTTGGTTATTTTAAACATTATAACGATCCTAAACATTTTCAGTTCCTTTTGAATTTCCATGGTTTTAATCTCGATTAAGTGATGTGCAAATGGAGAATTGTAGTCGTCTCTTTTCTTTCACTATTTTTTTTTATTTTCAAATAGAAAGTTTAAAAGTAAAGAATAATTAGAATTTGGCATGGGTCGATCGAACAGGCTGAATTTCAAGTTTTGGCCCGTTTGTTTTATGCATTGCAAATTTATTAGCATGTTGATGGAAATGGCTTGGAAAAAAGACATATAAGTTGTACCTTTGCAGAAATGTCCTCAAATGTTTGAATGCTTTGTGAATCAGGTTCCGTGACTTTTGTGATGGTGTATGTGCTTGACGATTGCTCTTTTGATTTTCCCTATGAGTTGTGATACCAGTTCTGGTGGTTGCAACATGTTGTCGTTGTTGGCCTGTAAAAGTTGTTCCACCGTGGTGCTAAATACCTTTCTTTCTTTTTTAACAAATTGTGTGGTAGTGCTATGAAACAGACCACCCATGAATGTTACGCTTATTATGGTCTGTTCTTACTTCCGGTGGTGAGAAATTGTGAGTTGAGAATCATATTCGCCTACCGCACTGTGTCTGGCTGGTGGCTGCTTACTGTGCTCTCTAGAGTTATGAAACAGACTACCCATGAACGTTACCCTTAAGAGTCCATAACTTTGCGAAAAACCAAATTTAGGCAATCAAAGGTGGTGGATGTATGATATTTTTTATGGCTTAATTGTTTGTGAATTGGATATATGATCTTTGTATGATTAGAGGGGATGTTTGCTTAATAGAATAATCCATTTTAATTCATGTTTATTTTTAACATGAACTTTAGTAACTCAAAACCTTCGAGACACATATCACCTACTGCATTGTATCATTTTGCCTGGGTGCTTGCTGTGTTGTCAAACTTCTTTGCCGCTGCTGATGCTTTTACACTAACAGGGGAGTTAAGAACCCATGAATGTTTCCGTTTGACACAAACAGGAGGACTTGCTTCTAAATCGTGCAGTTGATATACTGGAGACCAGAACAAAAGCAATGTATAACATCAAAACCAACCATCTGAACTATTAGCATTGTTGCTTTACTCTTTTTTCGTGGTTAGGTCTCCTTCAAAAAATGTAGTTTGATTTTAGAAAATTTTGCTTCTGCAGTCCTGTCTTGCCACCAACGCGTTTAGTAGATGGAGATGGCAGAGGCGAAGGCTATTTTTGTGTTGTTGTTGCTGGTTTAGGGATCGGTTTGTGAAGAAGAGGGAGAAGAGAGGGGGAAAGGGAAATGCAGGAGAGGGGGTTAACTCTTTTCTCTGACAAAAATGGAGTGAAGAAAGGAATTATGATCAGTAAGGATATGGTTATCTTACATAACTGTCTCTATTCTGTTGGAATTGAGCTTGGGAGGCAGTGAATAGGACGAGCTGCAACCAATTCATAGTGAGAAGAGAGCTATGAACTGTGATCATGTCCTATTTCAAGTTAGAAGGTAGTTTTGAGTATAAGGATTATTTAATTTGACAAGTTGTTTCGTCCATGATTCTTGGTAGTTTCAGTGCCATTCTAGCCATTGTTTAGTCTGTAATTTTTGAGAATTGATTTGCGAGTAATGACTTTCACTTAGCTTCACTATTATGCGTGTATTTATTGGCATGTGATAGAATTCTCTTTTCCTTTCTTTGAATTCAGTTTCATACTCTAATTGTATCATTTGTACATAGGCAAATCATGCTCGAGATGACAACTCGCCGATATGGATGGTGCAAGGAACGAAGCCATCATTAGAATTCAGACCGACAACGGGGAGGGATGCCCAGGACTAATTCAATGATGATTGATCCTCATAAAAACTGCAGTCTGCATCAGCACCAATTTCTAGGCCTAAGTAAAGTTATTCAACCAGAACTCTGCTTAGCGCTAAAAATTCCACTCACCCAACCTTGATCCTGTTTGACCCACTTATGAAGATTCAAGATATATGACTAATCCTCTACGTTCGTATTTTCTTATTGACTCTTTCTGACCCTTTAGGTTGGGGCGGGTCGGGAAGAATCAGATTAGTGGGTCGGTCCTAAGCAAGTGGAATCCCAATTCCTTCTACTCTCACTTGCTTTTTCTCCTATTCCACAAGTGGGTAACATACACTAATCCGGCCAACGGGCCGGGTAATAGGCTAGTAATTAAAAGGTGGAGATTAGTGACCGCGTTTGTCCGTCGCTTAATGTGGTGGAATTTGGTTTTTTGCTTGCGATTTTATTCGTTTCCCAGCCTAATTTGGTTAAAAGTTTCTCTTTTTAAGCATTTTTGCATCTAATTGGAGTAGGTATCTTACCTCATTTGGCTCTTTTAGCTTGGCTTTGGAGATAGTCTAATGGAAGAAAAATGAAAATCATCGTCTGCTTCGGTTTGTTATTGAGTGGGTAGTTGACGGGTTTGTTGCTCCCAGTTGGGATCTTTACGATTACTAGCGTTAAGTTTGTGAATGGGTAGTCATCGACCACGTCGTCACTTTTTTTTATTCCGGTCGACCCGTGCCGAACCAAATGTTGTCTTTTCCGTCTGGTATCGGCAGCCTCCGCCCGCCCTTGTTTCCTTGTCATCATTTCCTCGTCGGTTTCGTTATTCCCGACGATTTGGTAGCCAACTAGCCGTCCACTGCAATGCAGGATAGCTCTTCTCTCGCTGCTATTTAGTGACCCTCCATCCACTCCTCTGTCTTCCGCACTGACATTAAGCCCACTCTGCATCGACTCTTCGCTCATCAAATAGTGGGAAAGAGAGCGAGACAATAATGTGAAGTCTCAGTGCTTCTGTTCTGTTATTTAACCAGAAATGGAGGTGGGTTTACTGGGGTTTCGCTCGTTTTTTTTTTTTTCTCATTCCGGTTTTGGTTTCTTCACAGGGACGGGGAAGGAGGAGGAGGGTTGAAGCCGATGGACTCAGAGCAACTGAGAGAGTATGGACACCAGATGGTCGATTTTATTGCCGACTACTACAAGAATATTGAGAATTTCCCTGTCCTCAGCCAAGTCGAGGTTTGCTGCTCCAAGGATGCGCTCCATTTTTTTCTTCTTGTTTCTTGTTGCACTTTTGAGTATTGGGTTCATTGAATGATTGCTCATCTTTAACTGCAGCCTGGTTATCTCCGGAAGCTGCTGCCTGATGCTGCACCAAATCAACCTGAATCATTGCAGAATGTCCTTGATGGTATGATCTGTATATAATATTATGAATGCTAACAGAATTCAGTGTTTTGTTGGTTACTCTTTTGTTTCCTTTTGAACGTATATTTTGTGGGGTATTCATTTGATTGTAGATGTTCAATCGAAGATACTGCCAGGGGTGACTCATTGGCAAAGTCCAAACTTCTATGCTTATTATCCTTCAAACAGTAGTGTTGCGGGATTCTTGGGAGAAATGCTGAGTGCTGCCATAAACATGGTGGGTTTCAGCTGGATAACTTCTCCTGCTGCCACGGAGCTCGAGATGATAGTGCTTGATTGGCTTGGCAAATTGCTTAAACTACCGCAGGAATTCCTCTCGCCAGGTAACTGTTCTGCTGTCCTAGACTTTCTGATTCTCTTGTTCACTTCGTGAATGTTCATGTCAAAGCTATTGAATGCATAGCATGGTCTTTGATATTGCTGGAGGTGGCCACATCCAGTTCTGACATGTCTTATGGTTCATTGATTTGGATGTCTGTCTGACAAGCAAGACTTTTTCGTTTGATAAACTTGGAGAGGTTTGATTTCAATGTTTGGTCCAAACATTTTTAGATATGTAACATACTAGGATTTTGTTACTGTACATTGACCGAAAGTAACATAATGTTGGAAACATGGACTTGGGAAACAGTTGCAATTGATCATTTTATGTTGTAAACAGAAGATAAACAGGTTAAACTTAGCAGAATTTTGATGGTAAGATGGGAAAAAAGATCAACCAAGTTTCTGAAGATTGGTAACTCATTTTAACAGGACACGGTGGTGGAGTGATACAAGGAACTGCAAGTGAAGCTGTTCTGGTTGTACTCTTGGCTGCTCGTGATAAGACGTTGAGGAGGGTTGGGAAAAGTGCTCTTGGCAAGCTAGTTGTTTATGGATCTGATCAAACGCACTCTGCATTACAGAAAGCCTGCCAGGTATTTCTTGCTTACTCGTTGCCTTTCGTGATTCCACCCATATTACTATTCAAAAGTCTTATTAGTGTTATCATATATGCTGAATTCGCCACATCCCTCTGATAGCTTTTGGTGTCTGATATATTAGACACCCATCCTTGTTATCTGAAATATTATTAGCTTGTATTCTTGGTGTGATCTAATGCACTAGCATGCAGCATATATTAGTGTGGTATATTGGGGCCAGTTCTCTTGTCTTTTTTAAACTATTTTCTGCTTTGTTTATGCATATACTGGTTAATCGATGATTACTAGTTACATGATACGCTTTTAGATAAGTTTGTTGATTTTCTCTATTTCCTTGTACTCTTCTGTTTATGGCAGATAGGTGGAATTCATCCTGAAAATTGCCGGCTGCTGAAAACAGACTCCTCAACAAATTATGCTCTTCCTCCGGAAATTGTTAGTGAAGCAATTTCACATGACATTTCTATAGGATTGATCCCCTTCTTTCTTTGTGGAACTGTAAGAGACTGAACCTGCCTTTGCTTTTAATTGATAGTTATTTCATCATGTCAACACTGTTCCTATTTTGCTTCAGCAAACTAGTTGGTGGGAATTTTGTGATTACCTTTTGCTGGGTTTCCATATACAAAATGGAAAGAAATTGGAAGTTGTAGGTTCTATGTTCAGTAGTTGGAGTGACTTCTTTGGACACACCAAGACTACCAAATCATTTTAATATTCCTCATGATTTGGTGATAAACTCGTCGTGCTGAGCTCTTGCTGTTTGGTGGAAGTAGACTAAAAGCAACTAGGAAGAGGATTTTACTTCTATTCTGCATTTTGGAACTTAAAACCCACTAGATATCATGTAGCAGTGAACTTTATATATTTTTCCCGTTTTACATAAGAGAAGTTAACACTAGGATACTTGACTGGAATGCTATTGATAGATTTCACCCTCAAGAAAAAGTCTAGAATTGAAACCAGTTATTATTTTGTATGTTTGCTATTGAGATGCTACACATCTTAAGTTGAATTGGTATTGACACTAGTGCTGCAGTGCATTAACACACCTAGTTGCTTATCAGTGGTTTGTTGACCGTAATTTCTACCAGATAACCTTTGCATGCGTCTACAGGTTGGCACTACTTCATCAGCAACTGTTGATCCCTTGTATTCTCTGGGCAAGATCGCCAAGGTCAGTTATACCTTTTATATTTCATAAATTCCATAAGTTTTTTTGCGAATTCTGGATTATATAACAATTCTGACTACTCAGATTGCAACCATCCAGTAAGACTGAATAGAAACAGGCGAAAAGATTGCAGAAATAAGCATGTAAACTTGGTGTTTGCCAGAACTTTGTCGTCATTGTCCTTTCTCTTCCTTAATAGTCTAGGAACAAAGCAAATTTTGTTCTCAGTTCTCACCCTTGTTCCCTATCAATGTCATTCTCAAGATTACCAATGAACTGCATGAGGCATTCTTATGACTCAGCTTATTATTATCTCGTGACAGAGTAATGACATGTGGTTTCATGTGGATGCTGCATACGCTGGAAGTGCTTGCATATGTCCGGAATACCGCAAATACCTTGACGGTGTTGAAGAAGCAGACTCTTTCAACATGAATGCACACAAATGGTTCTTAACCAACTTTGACTGCTCAACCCTTTGGGTCAAGGTATTTCATAAATATCTTTATCACATGTTGTTGTGGATAGTATGCATTGGAATATCTATAGTTATGGTCCTTCTGCATGTGAGCCGTGTTGGGGGGAAGAGATTCCTTTCATTGGGAATTGTATCACTGAGACTGCATTTCTTGTAGCAGTCTCAATGCTTAAAAGAAGAGAACTTCAACTATTATTGACATCATGGTACTCCATAGGTTCAGTTTCCCTTTGTTCTTCTAAATTGAAGCTAGAATTTATCTAGGAAATTCCTATTCATTACTCTGGCATGTGCCATAATCAGATACCTGCTAGAGTTCTATAGTCATAGTTTTCCTGATGCTACACTCTCCTCAAGTTAACAGTAGGTGGAATTAAGTCTGTCTACTGAGACTTTGCATTAGACCACTTTGGTCTATTGCCAACTTTTCTTGTATATGCTTGCCTCTAGTTGCATGGTTACCGTTTCAGTTTACATGGATATTACTAACTTATTGCTTTGTTAATGTATGATGATACTAGGATAGAAATGCTCTCATCCAGTCCCTCTCCACAAATCCAGAATTTCTGAAGAACAAGGTAAATATTTTGTCTATTTACCTGCTAGATACCACTTTTTTGCAATTGTCAATAATTGTATCATGGTTAGTGGTTTCGTGATCGAGAGATCGATTTGAACATATTAATGTTTATCAAACTGCGATTTAGGCCTTTCTCGTCGAAGTTGTGTGAAGTTGGTGGTAATGCTGCTTATAGACAACCGTTCATCATGTTGTCCCCTCTATCATATCTATTGCGAAGTTGGTAAATTTACAAGTCTTTATCATTGCAGGCCTCACAAGCAAACTTGGTGGTTGATTACAAAGACTGGCAAATTCCTCTTGGACGTCGGTTCAGGTTTTCCTTACATACCTTATGGCTCCTACAAATTTATAATGCCTGATAATGGTTGATCATTGAAACACGAATACAAAGGGTTTGACACCTAACCTTATAAGATTTAGTTCTTACACCAACGCTTATCGTTAGGTCATTGAAACTATGGATGGTACTACGATTATACGGTGTGGAAAATCTACAGCACTACCTCAGAAATCATATCGAGCTGGCAAAATACTTTGAAGAGTGTGTTGGCCAAGACTCTAGATTTGAGGTAAAGGCCATTCCTTTCCTTCCTCCATTTCGACACCAGCAGATATCTTTTGAATCATTTCGATCATTTTCTGTGGGATATGTGTGCGAACCGTGCAGGTTGTTGCCCCACGTCTATTTGCACTAGTCTGCTTTCGCCTCCTACCTCCTGTCGGTGACAATGAAGTTTGCAGGAGCAACAAACTGAACCAGGTCCTGCTGGAAGCTGTGAATTCAACCGGGAAACTTTTTATTTCCCACACTGTAAGAACGTTAGATCCTTCCTGCTGTAGTGTAAATGTAGTTAATTTTATCAGTTGAGCAACTATATCACCATCAGTTGATTGAATGAGATGACGACTTACATTACTGCAATTGCAGGCCTTATCGGGGATGTACACATTGCGTTTTGCGGTAGGAGCACCATTGACGGAAAGGAGACATATAGCTGCAGCGTGGAAAGTACTGCAAGACGAGGCCTCTACTCTACTTGGTACTCCACTTCAGGACAATGGCAACCCCTCCTAGTATCCACCACTTATTTTGCATTTTTTGGGGATGGTTTCCGAGCAAAACCATTACCACAAAAGCGATAAAGCTTTTGTATTTAGAAATTATGGGAAAACTGGAGAAATCCATTAATGTTTGCTCTCCTAAACCTCTGAATTCTGATTTGTCTCGAAAGTCGAAATAATCTTTTCTTCTTCTGATGGGCGTCATGGTTGGGTTTGCTTTGTGGAGTCATTGTATAAGGCTTTGCTTTCGTTGTATAACTAAAGTTATTCTTAGCCAGCTTGGTGAACTCGGTCTGCTCTTTGACCCTATCGGTTCGATGGGAGTGAATGGACGAGGTTGGTTATAATGAAATAGGTAGAATGGTGGTTTGAGGGAGCTTTAGTGACATGAAGTAGTCGAGAGGTGCAATTGAAAGCATAATGGTGATGGTGTATGGATGAGAGACTTAGTGACTTATGGAAGCAACTAGTTTCACTTTGTTGGTTGAATTTCATAAGCACATTAGAAACTTCACAATACAAATCACAAACACGGTAAAGCAGATAATAGGAACACATATAAGAAATCTCCTAATGCAAACCACAAGTCTCCTAAAAATATACTAGAAATCTCACAATGCATATCACGAATATTTCATAAGCACACCAGAAACCTCATAATGCAGACTACCAACACGGTAAGGAAAACCACAAAAAGCAAACTAAAAACCTTCTAATGCAGACCGCAAATCTATTAAAACATACCAGAGACTCCACAAAGCAAACCACAGAAGTTTTGAAAGCACACCAGAAACCTCCTAATACAAACAACAAACAAGGTAAAACAAACCACAAAAAGCAAACAAAAACCTCCTAATGCAAACCAAAAATTTATAAACATACCAGAAACCCCGCAAAGCAAACCAGAAAGATTTTGAAAACACACTGGAAACTTCTTAAAACATACCACACACACGATAAAGCAAACGACAAAAGGCATACAAAAAACATGAGAAAACAAACCATAAATCTCACAAGGCATACCATAATATCCGGTCAACAAAGACCTTTGACCAAATTCTAGTGACCGTCGGTGATTGGATTCCAACTCCGACAAACATATTTTGGGCCCGATGACTAGATTTGGACACGGTAAGCATATTCCTATCACAGTGATCGAATTTCGGCGACACTAAGCATATTTCAGCCATAGTGGGAGGATTTCGCCGATGGTGAGCATATTCTGGCCATGGTGGGAGGATTGCAGCAACAGTAAGCATATTTCGACGACGGTTAGCATTTCTGGTGACAAGATCCGGTGGCCGGTAACTGGATTCCACAGCCATAAATTTGGACGAGAAATAAAAAAATTATAAATAGTAATTTTTCCATCATTATTTTTTATTATTGTTTAAACATAATATTTATAATAGCAATCATACCCTTTCATGATCCTACACTAGGTAAGACTAAGTAATATAAAGTTATCACAATTCTAACTTCCTATTGATTGAAGACTAGTGTTGTCACACTAACAACACAATCAATGTTGTCACCCTATCTAGTCTAGTCTCAAATCGGCCAACAATCATCATCAAGTTGTCTTCCACTCACTTTTGGACTAACAAACAGTCCAACTCGGGTCCAGATCATGTCAGTAAACTTAGGGTCAGTTAGTGTGAGTAACATGTCCACATGGGTGTGACATTAGCATACTCTCTCTTATGAAAAACCTTTAATCTTTTTCCTTCTATCTTTAACGAACGATTTCTCTCTCCTTTTAAGTCTGAATTTTTTTTTGCACAAATAAATAAGATTAATTGTGATATTCAAAATTATATCCATTTTGAAATATTTTCATAACAGAAAAAATTGAGTAATTATTACGAGTCTATACCATATGGTATTTACTGGTATTAAATAAGAGCATACCATATGGTATGAAAGCGTACCATGGTGGTATGAAAATACCAAGACTATAGGATGGTTGAATACATGATAGTAGGAGTATAATAGCTGCCATTTACGACTTTAATCACTCTGCACCACAAATTACCACCCCCCCATATCAGGGTGGTATATAATGATATTTTTTGGTCCTCTATTTTTTTCATCCAAAAATTTGTAGATACAATAGATCATGATGAACTCGTTCATTCTGTGCAAATATTTTCAAAAACGACTTAAAAACGGAGGAGATACCATATGGTATGTAGTTGATAATTAGAGGTGTGAAAAAAAAATTCTCAAAAACTATTGAAAATTGATATCATTTTGTAGAGCACAAAGAACTCGTTCCGTCTATGCAAAAAAAATTAAAAAAATTAAGTTAGAATGAAGAAGATAAGTATCGATTAAGAAAACTAGAAAATTAAAATATTTTTAATTCACAACTCTTAAATCTATATTTCTAAACTCACTTAAATCCAAATTACTTATGAGTCATGGGAGTATCCAATATTTACTAACCCTATCTTGAGCGTTCCAACTTTGGAGAGTCCAAATTTTTTCCGGACAGCAATTATTTTGCCTCGTGCGGGCGAGCCCAAAGGCCCAATCAGCACCGGCCCGTCTCGAAACCAGAAAAAGCTACGGCGGCGGCGGTGCAGAGATGACGGCTGAAGCGGAAGCGGCAGCGGCAAAGCAATATAATTTTTTTTTTTTATCAAAATCAAAATTGACAGTTTCTTGAAGCTAAGAAGTACAGAATGGCTCTGCCAAGTGAATGGCTGTCGTCGTTACACACACCCATCCTTTCCACTCTCCTACCCGCCACAACCACACCCTTTCATAACCCCACTATCCTTCAATCTCCTCCTCTTCCTCCATCGTCCCCTGGTTTCCTTCTCCCCCAGCAGCCATGGCAGCGCTGCAGCAATCCCTTTCGCTAGCCTCCCCAGTCTCCCAACGCCACCATTATCAGCAACCCAGAGCAGCTCTTTCAGGTATTTATCTAACCCAGTTGGGGAATTTGGGATTCCTTAATATTTTACTCCCGCTCTTACTTCAGTTTTCCATAGTCGATGAAATGTTCAATCTCTACTCTGTTTTCTACTAGGCTTGGCGCTCCATTGCTCAAGATCCCTCTTCAATGGGCAGTCCTTGCGCCTACCTTGTAACCACCGCACGGCTTCCATCAAGCGGAATTCACAGGGTTCGTCTGGGGTTGTGGTGACAATGATGGCGAAGCCATCAATTCAGTTCATCCAAGGAACCGATGAACAGACAATACCGGATGTGAAGCTCACCAAGTCGAGGGACGGCACCAACGGCATGGCCATATTCAACTTCGAGCAGCCTTCCGTGTTTGACTCCTCCGGTGAACTCGGCGACATCACTGGCTTCTTCATGATTGACGAGGAGGGTGTGCTTCAGTCGGTTGATGTCAGTGCCAAGTTTGTGAACGGGAAGCCGGCTCGCATCGAAGCCAAGTACGTGATGCGGACTCCCAGGGAGTGGGACAGGTTCATGAGGTTCATGGAGAGATATGCTAATGCGAATGGCTTGCAGTTTGTAAAGAAATGAGGCAATGTATGTTGCTTACTTACTTACACCCTTCTCTCTTGTCTGATATCTCACTTACAAGTTCTATTGTGTTCTTGTTCTCCATTTTAGCTTTTGCTTGTGCACATTAGTGGAGGTGAAGCTTCAGAAATGTTCTGGTACCGTCTCCCGGAAGTGTTTTGTTGAATGAAAGCTATGGTTGCCATTTTGATTTTTCCAATGGCATCCGATTTTTCCAGAGGGATTCTGCTTTGACCTACAGCATGTTACTTTCGTGCATTAGAGATCTTTTTTTGAGAATGTTGTCTGGTAAATGGAGTATGGTACTCTCTTCTGTATGAGAAAGGCAAAAGAGCAAGAATCTTCATTGAACATTACACTAATGTTGTAGGTAAGACAAGATCAAGAGTCTTGACTTGTTGAAGTAAGCTGAAAAACGATAACTCTATCTTAGCCAAGTAGAATATCTAAGATGTATCTGAATGAGCATGGAATCCTCATCAGGTGCAATTCCAATAGTATGAAGTTAAGGTTGAACAAATGCTACTTGGTTGTCCCTTCCGTAAAACGCCACTGTTATTTCCTCTTCCATGTCACTGAGATAGGGCTTCTGACCCTGGTGAGGTGATTTTGAGAGTTTATCCATGTCAAGTGGCCTTCTGCAAAGCTCAGCTTCTCCCTTGTCATTCTCTTCCTCGATATGAACCACACCCTATAGCTCAAAACCTGATTTCTTTGCTTGAAGTGGAGCTTTGTCGGTTTTACTCTGACCTTCACTCCCTCTGGAGCCTTCACTTCCACTGAGTATATGGAATTCGGTCGGCCTACGTTTGTTATTTTCCTCATCATCATCTTCCTCCTTGTTCCCTGCCTGAAAATTACAGAAATGGAGGGGTAATTGAGGCTGAAACCTTTGTTCATCTTCAGCAGCTCGCTGCAACTTGCGTTCCTGTGTGTGATGGTGAAGATCTCTGATCTTGTATACCCAAGTGTGCATAGATGAGTAACATAATCTTCTGGCCTGATATCATATATCAGCCCTGGATAGATGGCTCTCTGGGGGTTCACATGTCCAGCTCCCATGGCGAAAACTCCAGCCGGTTTATCGCCATCCATTATGGGATTCCCAGAATGGTCAGTTACATCTGCGGTGGTCAGCATTGCAGATTTAACAGCTGCAGGGCTCCATTTTGGGTGAGCTGATCTTATCAGTGCTGCAATTCCACTGGCATGGGGACACGCCATGGATGTTCCTGACATGACAGTGAAATTCACCCTTCTGGAATCTTCTGGAAGACCTGTAGGCCCCAGGTTTTGAGGCCAAGCTGCAATGATGTTGACTCCAGGTGCTATTACATCTGGTTTCAGCACTGAGGGGTTGGTGAAGCTTGGTCCCCTGGCCGAAAACTGAGCCACTGCTGGTGCTCTGGACTTCCCAATCACAGTTCCACTAAACACAATGCGAGCTCTTGGATTTCTTGTGGAGTTGATATAAGCTTTCAGACGAAGTGATTCTGTGAAGCCCACCAATGTTGCAGGCAAGACGTGAACATCAACAGAATCCTCCTCCATATTGATGGCTGTGTTCGCTAGGATCATTGCAGCACCACCCGACTGCTTCACCACCTGACCCTTTTCAGCCCTTCCATTGACACCTCGGTCGCAGACCACCATCTTCCCCTGGATCTTTACCTTGGGGAGAGAACCTGCAAAACAGAATTCACTTCCCTTTTTGCCACCTGCTGGTGCGTAAACCAGTTCAAACTCCTTTGTGGTGCTTGGAAACTCGTTTCCCGGGAACATGGATTCCCCAGAGAGGTATTCACCATTCCCGAGTTGAACAATTGCTGGAAACTCTCTGTCCAGTGTGCTTGCTCCTATGGTTGCAATCCATGGAGCCTCATTGGCAACTGAATATTGGAGAGGACCACTGTTTCCAGCTGCACATACAACTGAAATCCCATGCTCCACTGCTCGAAAGCTACCGATTGCTATGCTGTCTGCAAAAAGTGGTAGCGGGAATCCTCCTATGGAGAGGGACAGGATATCAACTCCATCTCTAATAGCTGTGTCCATGGCAGCCAGGATATCAGAGCTGTAGCAGCCATTTGTCCAGCAAACTTTGTAGACGGCAATGTGAGCCCCAGGAGCCATCCCTCGAGCAACACCGCCACCATTCCCGAGCACGCTAGCCCTAGGAACCGAAGCACCTCCAGCGGTCGAAGAAGTGTGCGTGCCATGCCCGTGGGAATCTCTAGGCGATGCGTATTCTTGAATCGTGTTTGCAGGCGACGATGAAGGAGAAGCCACCGTGTGACCTTTAGTGAAGAATCTCGCTCCAATGAGCTTCCTGTTGCAGTTTGAGGAATCAAAGTCTTGCCCTTGTTGGCAAATCCCTTTCCATTTCCCGGGAACGGGAGGCATTCCCCTGTCTTTGAAGCTCGGACTCTCGGGCCAGACTCCGGTGTCTAGAACCCCAATGATGGTGCCGTGGCCGAATCCAGACTGGTACCAAGCATCTTCTCTGGCAGGAGTGAGGCCCATGAACTTGTAGGAGTAAGTAGTGTGGAGCTGAAGCCTGGTGTCCGGCCTAACGGCAACGACACCAGGCAGCTTCTTCAGCAGCTCCAGCTCGGAATCAGAGAGCTGAGCAGCGAAGCCTTCCATGGCGGATGTGTAGGAATAGAGAAGGCGGGTGGAAGAGTCGTCAGCTGAAACGGACTGCTCAAGGAAGGAAAGGTGCCAGTGAAACTTGGAGGGAAATGCAGAGCTTGTTGGTGTGAAACCATGTGGATGTGGGTGGAGCTGGACAATGTAGGTTTGCAGAGGCTTTGCATGAAGGCAGAGTAAGCAAGAGAAGAGGACATGGAGAAAGGTGACAACTTTAGCTTCCATTTGGGAAGTAGGTCAAGATCAAGTAGATGCTTGGAGATGGATGCATGGCTGGGGTCAAGAATCTCAGCAGGTATTTGTAGGAGCCCACCCTGAGTGTCCAAATAGAAGAATATGAAACTCGTGAAGCAAGAAGAGCTCTTCCTCACGAGGATCCCTTGTTGGCGGGAAGACAGAGAGAAGGAGTAAGGGTTATCTTCCTCTGTTTGCAAACTCAAAACTCAGTAAGAGAGCTCTTTCCTCACGGGATGTTTTTTGGGTAGCTTTATTACAAGTTCCCATTGGCGCTTGAACCTTGAATTTCAAACGGAAGGGATCAATGTCTGTCACTCTGTGTACTGCTTGTTTTGAGCTTTTTTTTTTTTTTTTTTTTTTTATATCTCTGTTTGGGGGAGCTAGCGATGAATAAATGCTGCAGTGTACGACTATGGCGGGCTGGGGATTGCATTTATGGGAACGCTCTGCATTTAGAACTTATACAGACGCATACACTAATGGCAGTGGCTCCTTTGTTCTCGTGCAGCTTGTGTTGGTCTGGACTTAAAAAGGACTCGCTTCTCATTGATTTTTGCTGTCAGATTCTTCTGTTCTTGCAGAGGGTGACTGGGATTGGTTAATAAATATGGATGCAGTAATCACTTTTGATGGTTTTGCCCGAGTTGGAATGGAGATCGCCGTTCAGTTGAAGTATTGTTTACATTTTGTTTCTGGAATTTATCTGTCTGGGTTGCCCTGCTAGATTCAAGAATTGAGATTTGCGGAAGATGAACGGAATAATCCGAGTTTGATTGATTAGAGAAAAGTGCTATGTTCCTACTCTACAACTAGTAATACATTACATATACCAACGGCCAAATTACTAACTAGTACCTATAATCTAGAAAATTACATCTAACTACCTGAAAGCAACACAATTACACTTTGTATCCTATACTACGAACCCCCCTCAAGTTGGAGCATGTACATCACACATGCTAGCTTGCCTATCAAGTCTTCAAACATGTATATGGGCAGTGATTTGGTGAGTACATCAGCAGTCTCGCTGTTAGTAGGAATGTGAAAGATTTTGATTAATCCAACATCAAGCTTTTCTCGAATTAGGTGGCAATCTATTCCAATGTGTTTGGTCTTTTCATGAGCAACTGGGTTTTCTGCAATTCGAATAGCGTAAGTATTATCACAGTACATGGAAAAAAGGAGATGCAAATTAAACATTCAGATAATGAAATAAGTAATTTAACCATTGCAACTCACAAGATAAATCGCCCATTGCTCTATACGTTGCTTCAGCAGAGGAACGAATGACTGTGGTTTGTTTCTTTGATCTTACAGAGATCAAAGATTTACCCATGAAGGCGCTAAAGCCAATAGTGAATCTTCTGGTATCTGGGCAACTAGCCTAGTCGGAGTCTGAGAACGCAGGAAGATTTTCATAATCTGCTGGAAAAATAATCCATCGCAAAATTATTTCGCACAAATCAGACTAATCTAGATGCAACATGCATATGCATATCAGTAGGAGAAGCAACAAATTGAGTAAAATGATAAATTGCATACTGAATATCAGATCTGGTCGTGCAAAGATAAAACAAACGCCCAATCAATCTTCGAAAGGAGAAAGGTCAAGAAAGGTATCATCAGAAGGGGACCGATTATTGTAACAACACCCATTGTGTTGTTATTGTAACAACACTAGTCCCCAACCAATAGGAAACTAGGGATGTGATGACTTTTTATTAGTTGAGTTGACCTAGTGTAAAATCAAAACAGGGGTATAATTGTCATTATGAAAAATATGTTTAAATAATAAAAAAATAATAATAAAATTTTATTTTCTGCCCAAAAATTTGGTCGCCAGAATTCTGCCCCGGTCGCCGGAAAATGGTCGCCGGTCACCGGAATATGCTTTTTGTCGCCGGAATATGCTATTTTGTGGACGGAATATGCTTACCGGCGTCGGAATCTAGTCACCGGGGCCGGAATATGCCTATCGGCGTCGGAATCTGCTCACTGACGGTCACCGGAGTTCGGTCAACGGTCTTCGTTGACAGGTCAACGGTCAACGACCGCCGGATGTTATGGTTAGCAATGTGAGATTTATGGTTTGGCTTCTCATATTTTTTTATGCGTTTTATGGTTTGTTTTATTGTGTTTGTGGTTTGCATTGAGAAGTTTCTGGTTTGTTTTCAAAAACTTTGTGGTTTGCATTGTGAGGTTTCTGGTTTGTTTTAATATATTTGTGGTTTGCATTAGGACGTTTATGGTTTGCTTTTTGTGGTTTGATTTACTGTGTTTGTGGTTTGCATTATGAGGTTTCTGGTGTGCTTTCGCAAATGTTGTGGTTTGCATTGTGGGGTTTCTGATTTGTTTTAGGGGATTTGTGGTCTGAATTAGAAGGTTTTTAGTTTGCATTAATAAGTTTCTGGTGTGCTTTCGAAACTTTTGTGGTGTGCATTATTGGGTTTCTGGTATGTTTTAGGGAATTTTTGGTTTGCATTATGAGGTTTCTGGTATGCATTTTGTGGTTGTTTTTATTGCGTTTATAATTTATATTAACAGGTTTATGGTGCTGATAACTAACAAATAAATACAAAATTATTACAAGGCTACAACCCCATTTGACACCAAACTACATATGACCACAAGTACACTCTATAATTAGCAAAATTAAACAACACATCTCAATAGATATACCACAAATATCAACTTAAAACTTGAAAATAGCTTTCCCAGGATCAATGATTCTCTTCACGGTCCATTCAAATTGTCATTAGAAAAAACAAATTCAATTGGAGTACTAATGAAAGAAAGAAACGAGATGGAGAGGAAGAAAAACAATTGAAGCATAGACTTAGTCCGCCGAAAGCCTTGGAATGAATTTCCACAACTCGTCCGCAGGCCGCAGCTGGTACCACCATTGTTGCGAATCTCTAGGAATTTGAGAGATACAAACTGCAGCGAGGCAACATAGGAGCCTCAATGAAGTCGTCTGCAGCCGGTGCCGGCATGATTGCGGAGCCTTCTGCTGCTTCCGTTCACGTACCCTCTAGCAGCGGTAGAATCCGAATTTCCGACAGTTCCGTCACGGGAACAAGCGAACAACCGGAATCCGATGGCGCGATATTCTTGGTGTTTTCAACATCAGAAGAGAGGGAACAGTGAGCAAGAGCGCTACCTCGCCGATGGGGTTCCACGCTACCTCCTCCGGCTCGTCGATGACTCTGAGAACACTTTCATCGAGTAGTGGAATGGCGATGATCGGAAGCCGTGGGAGTCGCAGCACGAGGTGGGCGTCCACGAGCTGATGGATCTGAGGAAGTACACGTCGGTGACCGGCGACGGGAGGAGCTGAGAAGGACGTCGGTGGTGGGGATCGTCGGTGGAAGGCTAGTGTGGAGGCATTGATCGGCGCCGGAACAGAGAAGGAAAGAGAGGTGGAGACGGAGGAGAAACCCAGATCTAGGAATAGAAAATTGGGGCATCGGGAGAGAAGCGCAGATTAGGGGAGCAGGGTTAATTCGTTGCTTTTTTTTGTTCAAATTAATTTTTTTATTTTGTCAATTTACTCTTTTATCCTTGTTGTTACTATAACAAATTAACAACATTATGGCTGTTGTTATACTATCCGGACCCCATCAGAAGTAGCAGACAATAGAACGTTTGGTTCACCAGGAGAGGCAACAACCTTTCCATAAAGGAGATTATAATCTGAAATAATATCTAAGGCAAACTTCCTTTGGCACAAGGTTAGACCTTTAGAAGAACGAGTTATTTCTAAACCAAGAAAATAGCGTAAAGGACCCAAAAATTCTTCTTTTCTGAAAGCAACAACAAGGTTTGGTTTAATCAATTTCATGCCATCTGGATCATCTCCGGTAAGAATGATATTGTAAACATACACTAATAGAGCTAGAAATTTATTATTAGTATGCTTGCTAAAGAGAGTGTGATATGATCTAGATTGATGGAATAAAAGCATTATTAACATCCAATTGTCTTATGGACCAACCCTTAGTAGAAGCTAAAGCTAAGAAGTGCTAGCAATGGTCATTTTGGCCACTGAAGAAAAGGTTTCGAGATTATCAATACCTTTAGTTTGTTTGTAACCTTTTTCTATTAGACGAGCTTTAAAACATTCCACAGTAACTTCAACCTTATACTTAATTCTATAAACCCATTTGGTGTGTATGCTACTACCCTCGTGCCGATTGTGTCAATCGTTTGCACGGTACATCTAACTGCCCCGTTCTGAGGCAAGTATAACTCAAAATGACACTGCTAGTATAGTGGCTATCAATGTCGTATTCTACGGGTCCCCGATTTCCCAGCACCGAGCTCCATGAATTGTAAGCAGAAGGAATCGATTGATTTTGAAGGGAGAGGGAGGATGTGGGAGGAAATTGAAAGTCAGAACCCCAAAATTGCTACTAGAAGGGTGAAAGTCAGAGAGCAGGATAGAGAACGGCGAGAGAGAATCCGGCGCAGCGGAGAGAGGTGGAAGCGTGGGAGGAGAGGCGAGGAGGGTTGCTGGCGGCGGAGGAGAAGGGGAAGAAGGATGGATGTGGGTTTCGGGGGAAGAAGGGGGTTTGGGAATTGGTTTTTCCCCGATTGAGGTGAGAGAGGAGGGGATAAATAGAGGGTTTTTTTTTTTTGCGTTTATTATCATCAAAGTTAGAAAGTATGGTACATAGTTAAGGTTTTTTTTCCGTTTATTATTATTGACGGTCAAACCCGGCTCCGGGCCAAGTTAGAAAGTATGGTTCATAGTTCAGGTCTGGATAGCAATTTCAGAAACCACGAGCCAAAATTAAAAATTTGTGTATAGTTCGGACCAAACGAACGTATTAACTCTAAAATTTAGAAATTATAAAGCCAATATAGTATTTTCATTTTTGTAAGTGTATTTTCATATATCTGATACAGAATAATAAAAATACATACGAATCACAAGTTGACATGTGGTTTTGGGTCCTTCGAACTCCTCTTTCGCAGGTTGTAGCTAAATCTTGTCCTTCAAAATAAGAATAGGAATAAACCACAATCCAAATTTGCTGTCACATGGTAAACGCACCTGGCGTCTAACAATTGTAACAGCAGCTCCATCACTCCCAGAGAGATCAGACCCTGCTCCGACAGCGGACTGTCACTAGCTAGCTTGGAGAAAAGCATTTCGGAAAAGGTCCCATCTCTGCATCGACTCCTTAGCTATGGCCGTCCAGACTATGAAACATGAAACGTTTCTAGTGCGACATCAATTCCAGCCACTCCACAAAGAATGGGAAGCTAAAAAGTAAGAACTTCAAAAAAGGAAAAGAAGAACTCGATAAGCCCTCTGAATCAGAAAGTAGGTATACAGATGAGTGGTAAGAGGACACGAAAAGCAATCTGCAGAGCTGCCAGACAGCTGCTGTTCTGCAGTTTGGCTAAATATGGCAAATGTGACGGTTCATAAGCTTCAGTTGAAGGTTTAGAGGACACACTTTCCAGTGATAAAAAAAAAAGCTCCAAAATATATTGTTTCATTAAACAGTGTAATCTAATACCTTATTTGTTACATCATAACATGGACCAGAGAAGAAACAGAAAGATGACACTTTGCTACACCCACCACAACAACAACAAAAAAATTACAAAGAATCACTAGCCGAGGTAATCAAAAACCAAAAAGCCAGCGCTGGAACTGTAAAATAAAGAGTTCCCTACGGAATCACAAAGTATAGTGCTTTCTTGTTGACTTGATAAAGAAAGCAAATTTTTTTACCACATATGTAGCACTTACAGCCTCATTTTGTAACCCTATTCAAGGTCTCACCTGATGCAAGAAAGTTGAAGCTATTCTAACCGAAGGCAAGGCTGGGGAAGGACCATTGCTGCATTGCTTGGGTCTAGGGAACCCAGTCCAGCTTCTGCATTTTTCGGTATCGTTCATTGATTCATTCTTTACTCTAACCTTCAACATCATTTCTGATCCCTTTGCTCGTTCTTCCACGAATTTTTCGCGGCTTCAGCTGATGAGCCAGTAGAACCATCACCAGCACTTTCCCCCTTTGGTTTCGAGAAGAATGGATCCCATTCATGCCATCCGGCCTCCCGTTGCCCTTCTTCCAGCAAGGCGTACTTCCAGCTATTCTCCTCCACGAAATTGTCGTACTCTGTTCGCCCTACGATGATGTTCTTCCTCAACCTCGTCACCTTGTCAATCACAGCTTGCACGGCAACATCAAACGCGTCTTTGAAGGTCTCCAACTTCGATCGAGGATCTGCATATATGAGCTGGGGGATGAGGTTTATAACATTCTCCCTCATTATCTGAACCTGCTCGGGAGGAATCTGGCTAAGCCGTTCCTCAATGCTACCATTCCTTAATCGGATATCGTCCTCTGGAATGAACACAGAATACGTAGTGAAGTTCTTTGGGAGATGCCATGTGTATTGAGTGTATGCTGACCCAGGATGGAAGAAAACTGGAATGCACCCTGCCAACATGGAATCGAAAGCAGATCTTCTCGTGTATGAATCCCCCTGAGGTTGCAGACAAAAATGGGAGCTTTGGAACATCTGCATTATGCTGCTCGGAGAATGACACTTGCTCTCCCCAAAATCACACTCCAACAACTTGCCCACCTTAGAACCCCTGCACTGGTCTATAATCTGGCCTCTGATCGACTTGGGGTTGCCGGGACGTGGAGCCCCAGCAAAGGAGAAGAGATACTTCCTCTCCAACTTCCTCATCCGGTCTTGCCAAGCAAACACATCAGCATCCTTAGCAGGATGGAAATAGGTAGGATATGGAATCCCGAAATCATTTGCATTCCAAGGGCTCGACTCGACAACAAGCATCGACATATTCTTTGCAGCAGGCAAGAACAAAAGCTTATTCCCCCAATCACCTTCTTCCTCAGAGAGCCTCCTGAAATCCCAGGTAATCCTCCCGGCCACCAGGAAATGATCCCGACCTTGCATGATCTTCCACTCTGGCCTCTTCATGAGCCAGTCCACCAGATCAAGAGAAGCAGCATCCCTCCTCGAAATGTTATATCCCCAAAGGTACCTAGCGATATCGAAACCGGCATAAAAGGGCACAAAAATGGCAGCAGCAAGAGAGGAATCATTGGTCAAGCAGTCATACTGCTTCATCCTGTTACTGAAGATCACATCCACAGCAAATTGATTGGTGGCGTACCACCCAGTGTTGGAGAACACACCTTCCACATTCTCCAATGGCGGGCCCATGCCGGCATTGGTGGTGAACTTGCACATATTGGTCCAAAGACTCAAACTCCTGCACTCCTTCAACATGTCATCGTTGAACCTAGAAGGCAGATCATGGACATAGATATACCTCCCACCGCATCGATCCGTCTTGTTCTGTACGGTTCTCAGAGCTCTCATGAAGGGGAAAGTCTTGGGCTGCTGCTCAGTGACATGAGGGGTAATAACTTCTTCTTCGGCGGCGGCGATTTTGGGTCGTGGAGGCTCTTCAACTACGCGGACGGGGACGGGAACTGGGATTCTGGATTCGACCACCACCGGCGGATTGGACTGTAATCTAACCGTCGATGATTCATCGGCGCCACCGGTACGGCCTCCCAACACGACGAAATGGAAGTAGAGCAAGAGAATCCAGAAGAAAGCAGAGAGGGATGCCAACAAGCAGAGACGGTTCTGCTGGTTCTTGCCATTGCCTTTGTCCATTTGCTCGAAAGGGCTGGTGATTGCAGGGCGGCGTCTGGTTAAAATCTTCAAATCGCCCATAAATTCATCAATAAAAAAAGACAAATCCCAAAACCCAAAGCAAGCTCTGTTTAGCAAAACCCACCTCCCGAAATGCGAGAAATCACTCCGAAGATCACCAATTTCAGCTCTAGCTCTCCCAGTGAGTATTGGTACAGGGACCCAGAACAGAAGCAAGCAAATTCGACAGAGGGAATCGGGTTCGAATCAAGAGCCGGGACAGAATCTGATGGCTCAAGCGATCCAAAGGGAGCTCGAGAGAGAGAACCCAATTAAACAAACAGATTGAAAAGTGAAAAGAGAAATGCTTGTTTGAGTAAGAAAACCAAAGAAGCCTGTGCACTGAGGGAAAAGGAGCTGATGAGAAGAACTCAGAAGAGAGTTAGTGAGAGAAATGAATGGAGAGGGAAACTAGATTCGCTGCCTGCCTCGCTTAAGATCCGAGCTTTGCGAGCGAGCGAGCGAGAGAGAGAGAGATAGAGGGGACTACGGAGAGAATCAGGGGAATGATGGTGATGAGAATTGGGAACTGGGAGAAGGAAAGAAGGAGGTGGGTGCAGGGCAAGTTAGGGTGGAGACTCCGTAGGCAGTATTTTTTCCCTGGCGTCGGTAGCCGCTGGATTTACGCCACGTGGGATCGTGGACCTTGACGCGTCGGTCATGCCAGCTTTTCTTACCGATGCAATTTTTTGTTTTTTCCTTTTACATTCGAGAAAACAAATACGAAAAGAGAAAAAAACAAAATAGCAATTTTATTTTATATTGCTTTTCCGTCTCGTTTCAGTTTTTTTTTTTTTTTTTTTTTTTTTTTTTTTTTTTTTTTGTATGGATGAATTCTGTTTTTATATTTTAGTAATGGCTACTTGTCCTGGAATTGCGTTAAACCTAAACCAGCTCGCCGGAAAGCTAGGGAGGTGGGGGCCACGGGTATTTTATTTTTAACATTTGCTTTCTGGCTTTCTCGATCAACTGGTGACACGTGTGTATGCGTAGCGTTTATCGCCGGTAGCATTCAACTGGAGGTGGGAACTGGGAATTCTACAAAGCTGTACAGTTTCCTATTATTTTCAGTTTTTCTATATAATTTGTTTTTTTTTTTTTTTTCTAGTCTGGGGTTGTAATAAAAAGGCAAAATACACTTGTATAGCCAAAACTTTTGTGTTTGTGCCAATAATAGTCAAATTTGGAGAAATATCATTTATAGTCAAGTTTTAAAATTGTTGTAGGACAAATATAGCCATTTACGTTAGATACTTTAACGGTGTTATTAACACAGTCAACTTATTTAACTATTCGCTGACTAGGTGCCAATTCAGCGGACACGTCAGCGCCAATTCAGCGGACACGTCAGATATTCAATTATTTATTTATACATCATAATTAAAAAAAATTGACCCTCTTTTATTCCACGTTTGCTCCGCACGAGTCACACCCTTTTACACTATCGTTCCTTTCGTTGCCTCCTCGTTCTGAACCGTTGCCGGCGATAGTTCCCGACATCTGCTTCATCCCAACTGCATCGACAACCTCCGCCTTCCCCATTCTACTGTGGGGTTTTCTACGCTTCCCAAAAATAAAAGAAACTTTGATCTTTCTTCTAAACCCCCCTCACAAATCACAATCGAATCCAAACAGAGATTGGCTGCTGCAGTTAAAGAGGGTTCAGAAGTTGAAGGATTTCGAATCTAGAACGTTGCCGGAGGGGAGTGTAGGTTGTCGTGAATAGGCGTCGGCGGGTCAGATCTGAGTATTGAGATAATGTTAAAGCCGATCTAGGTATGGTGGAAGCGATATGATAAGAGGCTACGACGGAGGGGGAGAGGGTGGTGTTCTGGACGAAGAGCCGCCTATAAATCACGAAATCGCTTCCCCCGCCTATGCTTCTGGCCGCCACACTTCTCATTTTGCCTCTCAAATCTGAAAATCCAAGAACCAAGGTCGAGACAACTAGGGAAATTCGCCAGCCGCCAAGACGATTCTGCATCTGGCAGTAGCGGTCGCCATCGTCCAATCCACCACTTCGTCTCCTGATTGCATCTATCGGCATCTCTCTCCAAGACACTTCTTCCTCTTCCAGCACATCAGACTGTGAAACGAGATCACTCCCCAATCTGTCGCCGCTTAGTTCGAAAGGGCTTGGCAATGGTGCAGGATTCGGCGATTGTGAGGGATAGCTCTTGAAAACCCCATTTTAGGTTTGTCGTTTGGGTGGTCCTCCTTCCGGAAGAAGAGCAGCAGAGGTGCTTCCCAGCAACTATGATCTCAACTCGAAATTCTCGCCGACTGCTTCAGCTTGTGGTGTCGCCGCAGTGAAACGGAGGTTTGATTGAGATGTCTTTGCGGGTTTTACATAAGGAAGGGGTTGAGCGGCGAGAACCGAGGAAAGAGGCGGTCGTGGCTCGTGGGAATGGAAGAAAGAGTTCCAAAGGGTTTGTATTTCATTTAATTTATTGTTGATTAACTTTTTGCTTTTATTTTTCATTTTTTATTTTTCATTTATCTACACGTCAAAGAGGCGGTTGTGGCAAATTTGTTGACATAATATCTCCACGTCAACATTTCATTTTTTGTCCAGTCAGCTTATTAGATAACACCGTTAAAGTATTGGACGGAAGTGGCTATAAGTGGTATTCCTTTAAATTTGGCTATTATTGGCACAACCGTGAAAGTTTTGGCTATACAAGTGTATATTGCCTTTATTAAATAGGATTGTGTATTTTAATCATAGTTAATGAAATTGTACCGTACCGGCAGTTAAACCACAAAATACTAATATTGGAGGCCAAATCGGTAGACGGTATTTACTAACGGTTGAACTACGATTAAACCACGATTTTTTCATAAAATATCCTATCGCTGACTTTTCCATGATTTTAATACTTATAAATATTTGGGGTTAATTGCATGGTTGGTCATTGAGATTACAAAAAACGTTCATGTTTGGTCACTGCAAATATTTAATTCCATTCGTGGTCACTAAATTTACTAAAACATGTTACGTTTGGTCACCCTTCGTTAGCCTCCGTTAACGGTGTCAATTTTTTGCTGACGTGACTAAAAGAAATGCCTAATCAGCCATTTTTAACCCGAGAAAAATAAAATCTGACCTGCCACGTCATTAAAATTTGTCACATCACGAAAACCAACCCATTACCCAATCTCTTCTTCTCCAATTGACCCCGCCGACCCGAACCTTCTTCCTCTTCGTCTCCCCCGAAATTGTTCATCTTCCCCATCTTTCTTCATCTCCAAATTAGGGAAATGGCTGACTTCTCAATCACCCATGGTCCACGTGCATCTTCTCATTCACTCTCTCTCTCGAGCCCTAAGCTCACAAACAGATAAGGAAAGGAGGGAAATTGGAAACCTGCAAAACTAATATGAACCCAAAAAAACTGAAGAGGCGGCGGGTCATATAGAGTGGAGACGGAGCGGTGGCTGACCATCGCTGAGAATCTTCTCATCTCCCGGGAGCTCCATGGTGCCAAGTCGTTCGCGGTCCGCTCCTGGGATTCCGACTCGGTCCTCCTCCAATACACCGACCAAATCATCGTCGCCGCCGATACCATGCTTTCCGCCGAGCTCCAGTTCAACAGATTGAGTCAATCCATGGAGCTAATCGTTACTCGGTATCCTCAACCATACCCAAGCAGATCGTCCCTGCAATTAACCCAAGAGAACCCAGAAACTTTTCTTCTTCTTCCAATGGTGACCCAGACAAATCCAAGCAGATCGCAGTGCAATCAACCTAGGGGAACCCCAGCATCCATCGTCTCTGACGCAATCGACGAACCCATCCCGATCTCTGTTTTTAGGGTTTCCATTTTTGAGTTTTGGGGTTTTTATTCGTGCTGGGTTGTGGTTTCAATTTCTGGTTTGGGATTCCGAGATTCGTGCGCTGGTTGGAGTCTTCCTAGACGGACCAAGGGATGAGGAGGCTCGATTTCGTGGATGACGTTGTCGGTTTGGGTGACGTCGTCGAGTCGGACAATTTCGGCAGAGACGGCGGTGGTTCTGGGTATTTCAGATGAAGCTTGTGCGATGGTTCGGGTAGCCTTCATGCAATAACCCAGCTCTATCACTGTAATGCTTTTTTAGTTCGGTCGGGTTAGGTTGGTGACTCGACTCTACTGTCACTCCAGGAATTGGCCAAGTGTAACCACTTCTTAAAGCGTAGTATAGCGGGTTTAGGTTTAATTATCAACCCGGGTCCTAGATCTGATGACTACTCAGTGAATTCTTGTTATCTAGCAATGAAACTGGAATGCAAGTCTAACTAACAAACTAACAAAGCAAGTAAACGGTTGTATTCAGGTTAAAGAGGTCACCCGGATATGGTTCCCCCTAGACTGCAGTTAAGCCGGATTGTAATTACCAAGTTCAGTTTCTATGATAGTTATACTGTGGAAGGTTCTTAAACAGTCTGAAGTCTCGACTAAAGGTCTTCAGGCCCTCTCAATCTGAATCTCTAGCGGGCGACTAACCTCCACTGGAGTAGACAGATTGAGGCCCTAAGAACAAAACCTCCACTACCGGGGTAAATCCGGTACAGAATAGTGAGTTGGCTCCTCGACTAAAGTCACCAACTCCCTACCTTCAATCAAGGATACTCTATTAACCTAGGCAGATATTCTCATTCTATGTTAAAGCAGAAACAACAGGAATTTGATCAGGATTCAAGTCATTCAATCATTAAAACCTCAATCGAATATAATCAATCACAGAATCAGTACTTGGGTTCATACAATCAAAGCCTAACATACAAATCTAGGGTTCTCCATACCCAGATGAATGGGAGAACTACTCCATAGAGAAGAAAGCAAAAGCAGAATCAGACACGGAATTCATACTGCGAAGGATGGATTCCTGCTTCTGGACGTTGATTGGCACTTCTCCAAGCTCAAGCTGGCCTCCAATGGTGTTGAAGATCAATCTAGGGCACTTGGAGACTCTTGTTCGTCGCTTTCTCTCTCTAGAAATCGCTCTCTTTCTCAAAAACCCGAATCCCCCCGAATTGTGGCTGAAATTCTGCTTAAAAGGAGAAAATCCCGACTCACACGGCCAGGGTGGCACGGCCGTGCAGCTCACCCAGTTGCCCGTGTGAGTCAAAACGCATCGTTTCATTTAGTTCGAATTCCAGGCTCTTTGCACGGCCAGAATGGCACGGCCGTGTGGACATCCCCTCTTGCCCGTGTTTGCTCTCGCAGAATGTGGCACGGCCAACCCGGCCACTCGCACGGCCGTGTCGATCCTCTGCTTTGCCCGTGTGTGCTCTCGGCAAAACTCGCACGGCCAGGCCATTACTTCACATGGCCGTGCGAGTTTCAGGGCAGCCCGTGTGACTCCCTTGTGACTTGTCTCGCGCCCGATCTTCACCCAATCGACCCCGAACTCGCTCCTAAACCTTCATTCACTTGCCAGGACCTGAAATATCACAAACAAGCACAACCTAGCGTGAAATCGGTCTAAAACACGAGAAACCACCTCTCAAACGGTGTAAGAACAGGGGTGAAAACATGTGTAACTAACGGTCTATCAGTTGGGTCATGGGTTGAGTTGGATTTATGACGTGGCGGGTTATGTTTTAAGTTTTCTGGGTTAAAATTGTGTGACTGGACATTTCTGTTAGCCAAGTCAGCAAAAAATTGACGTCGTTAACGGAGGCTAACGGAGAGTGACTAAACATGACATGTTTTAGTAAACTTAATGATCACGAATGGAATTAAATATTTGTAGTGACCAAACATGAACGTTTTTTTGTAATATCAGTGACCAACCATGCAATTAACCCTAAATATTTGAGTCTAAGTTTCTCATTTGGATGGAATTTTGAATTGTCCCACAATCATACCCAATGAACTGTTCTGGTACATAATAAGCTTGGAAAGGAAAAATGAGAGATTATAAGCATGACACCTTTTGAAGTTTATCAATTGTAGATTTCAAACATTTGCTCCAAGATATTTTGAAATGTCTTTTTTTTCCATATCATTCCTATGGACCTTATAGAATTTTAAGTTCACTCTCACAACATTTTGAGTTAACACATCTGTCTTCTCCCTACTTCCCTTATTCTCAGTCTTCAACTCTTGCTTTTGAACGCACTCATGCTTAGGAAAAATCACCTCCAGAAGTCCCTTCAAGAAAAATCTGAAGTAGTGACTTATAGATTTACGTGTATATGAAATAGAGGAGGAAAATGGGAATAAGAAGAACTCTCTCTTATAAAAATGAGTTGTGACAACAATTTATTTATACTTGGGGAAAATGAAAGTTACCTTCTGTATTAGGGATGGAAATGGATCGGGTTGGATCGGGGTTTGCCAAACCCAAACTCATGGGGTTTATTCGTGAAAAAAACTCGGGGTAAAACCCACTGGGTTTGAAAAACTAAAATCCGATCCAACCCGTTGAGTATCCGCGGGTTCATGGGTACTCACGGGTTTTTGTCGTAAAAAAATTACAATAACAAGTTCTTATCAAAATTAAAGTCAAATATCAATCTCTCAATACAAATTATCCATATATAAAACACCATTCTACAAACTTCAAGCAAATCCCAAATTAACTATACAAATTGTTCAACACCAATCTAGAAAACACAAGATAATTGAAGCAAATTTATTCATAAATTATCCATACATAACATGATTAATTGAAAGCTTCTTTATCCTTGTCAATTAAGTTTTTTCACTCTCCACTCAATAACATCAACTTCATTCTACACAATTAGAAAGAAAAAATTAGACATGTCTCCACAAACATAAATAAGATTTCTACAAAAAAAAACATAAATAAGATTAGTTGTTTAGAATATTAAATATACCGAGAAAATTAATTATATGGGTGTGGATGGGTACCCATGGGGCGGATTTACCCAAACCCAACCTGGTGAATAGTGAATGTGTTTAAACCCAAACCCAACCCAAATCCCGTCAACACGGGTTTTACCCGCGTTGACCGGATTGGGTCGAGTGGGTACCCCGTGAGTTTGGGTTTTGTTGTCATCCCTATTCTATATGGGCACATCCTTTCACCAAAAAAAGGACGTTACTCTTCCTGAAAGGACACGTCCTTTTAAAAAAATTGCCTTTCTAAAAAAACACTTCTTTTCACATATTAAAGTATTCATTAATTAAAAATAAATAAATAATCTTCCAAAAACTCAATTTTGATGGTGATTGTTCAAATTGATAAGGAGGAATGACCGAAGGTAAAAGTTTGTGCATACTTTTAAAAAACAAGAGAACAATAGCATTTGCGGAGGCTTGGCTTTGTGACTATCATATGACATATGACATGACAACATGTAAGTTTTGATAAATAAATAATACATCTATGTGTATAATTAAGATAGTATAATTAAGTGTATGTTTACCACCACACAAAATCTCACTTCTTGTTATTTGATTGACATAAATTAAATAATTAATATACACTATAAACGAAATCTCCAATGAAAATAAATCTTTACTTGAGTTCTTTTTTCTCAGTTACCCATTCGATTTTGTCACAGGATGACATGACTCTGCCTTTCCCAGTCGACTTGTCTCTCTCGATTTTAATTGTAATAATTAAATATTTATTTTTATAATTATATTTTGAAAAGATCACATACCTAGTTTTAATTCCTAGTTCAGCCACTGTATGTAGGGTTAATGCATATCACTACTCTGCACCCATGCTCCGTTTTATTGGACTGCAATGGCTAGTATAAATTATAAATATGTCTTTGTAGTGATGTCTATTTGGTCCGGCCTTTTTGGTTTTTGTCGAAATCGGATCGGGATCAAATAGAAAACAATTCAATCTAATTTTCCGGCCTAGATTTTAGGTAAAAAATCGTTTGGGATCGGATCGAAAATCGAATAAAGACCGGATAAAAGAGCACAACACCCAAAATTTAACCTTCTCACCCTTTCAGACCTTAGGTCACTCAAATCCCCTCTCAGGCCACTCGAATTCACACAAGCTCAATCTAAAATCAATACCGAATTGGGACCGGACCGGTTCAAAACCGAACTGTATCCAATCCAATTTTTGGTCCTTATATTCTTGAAAAGACCGGACCGGAACCAAATCAATTCGGACCAATTTAACCGGACCGTATAGCCACCCATATATTAATAAAATCTGGGTTACTAAGCCCTATCCATAAACTGGCCAAATGTTTCCATCATCGGACGGCAAGCTTCCTTTCACTTTTGTGGTTCATGTTAGACAAGTGATTTTGCTCGAGTTTCTTTGATTTATTCACTCGGCTCAATTCTTCTGAAAATGATGTATTCATTTCTCATTTATTATAAATAAAAGTGTGTGTAGTGTGTACAAAATCGTGATTACGACGCAGAAAAGGAACAGCTGCAAAAGAGTTGACATATATGTTGGAAGACCTAATCAAAAGATTCAAGGTGTTGGATTAACGATCATATGATATGATGGTGGTGTGTCGTTTGAAAAGAAAAAGAACAAACTTTAATTGTTGTTATGTGCAAGACGACATAATTAATGAAAATTTAATTCCCAAGTGATTGAGGAGATGGTGTTCCGCACATCATTCCACAACAAAACATTGTTAAATCCAAAAATCTATGTCGTGAACTTGGATTAAGAGTGAACGGCTACGGTGCTAATTGTACAATAGTTAGCACCGTTCTAACCAAGGGAAAAACTACTACTAGTTTGAATTAGTAGTGATTTAGCTTAGATGTTGTATTGATTTTATAATAATCCGTAGTGATTTTGTTATTTTTAGTAGCGTTTTTTGCTAGTTATCACGGTGCTAACCCCTATAAGGGTTAGCACCTAATCCCATCCCGGATTAAGACTATTATGTCAAACTCATCAATTTCTAATTATTAGTTATTGGAAACTTTTTTTATTAATGTTTTCTAGTTGAGGGGTTCTTTGTATTTCTTGTTAGTATCATGCTAATACTAATTTCAGGCAATACAAATATTTTATTTTAATGATTTTTTTATTTTAAGATATTGACCACGATGATGAAGAAAGGGGTTTGCTTGTCATTATAAAAAAATTATGAGGCACACGCAATGTGGATCTATTCGTACATTTAAAAATTTTAAGTATCAAAATATAAGATATATAATTTATAGCTACTAAAATATTATTTTGCATCAATAATTTGTAGCTACTAAAAAAAATAGTTACTACATCTTAAAATATATTAATTTAGGTATCAAAACTCTAATTTACCTATGGAACCACAAGTTTATTAAAAAGGGTCACAAGTTCCCTAAACACACACCAGAAACCTCATATAGCAGACCACAAGTTTATTAAAGTGCACTTCTACAAACCAAAAGGAAAAAAGAAAAAGCAGTCACAAGTTGATTAAAACAAACAACGAGTTCTCTGAAGCATACCGAAAACCTCATAACGCATACGACAAGTTTATTAAAGCATACCACAAGTTTCTTAAGGTAAATCACAAGTTTCCTGAAACATACCAAAAACCTTATAACGCATACCACAAGTTTATTAAAGCATATCAGAAGTTTATGAAAGCCGACCGCAAAGTTTCTTAAACCAAACAAGAAATCTTATAAAGCATACCACAAGTTTCTTAAAATGGACCACAAACTTCATCAAATTGGACCTATATGTAAATTATTAAAATGTAAGACATACAATTTTAAGTTACTAAAATGTAATTTCCATTAATATTTTATGACATATGTGCAAAAGTGAGTATAAATCGGTCACTTGGTATATTGGAATCATCAAATCCCATTTATTATCGTGATTTTTTCAAATCCAAAGCGCGAGCAAATTTGACACCAAAAACTTTTCTTTACATGACTCCCAAATTCAGTATGCATGTTTAGGGCCTTTAAATAGCGGAGTTGGAAAAACATGTTTAGGGCCTTTAAATGGCGGAGTTGGAAAAACCTCATTGATGTTGGATACGAAATGCAACACCAAAATCCATTGATCTAAAAACCCCTATGTTTCTGTTTACACCTAAAAATAATTTGGCCTGAATTAAATGCCACATTAATTAGTCTCGGCATTTAATTCGATATCGCAGGACAAAAAACGATGTCGTTTGGAGTCGAGCAATACCGCGGAGAATTTAAGCGAGACCGCGGTACTTGAAACGACATTGGTTGCAGACCATGTGTGAGTCATGCGCATGACATGTATTGCTGTTGGACAAGGAATGTTCTTTTTATTCTATTTTTCCTTGTCAGAGGAGGAGAGTAACAGCACCGTTTGGAGTCAAGCAATGTTGCGAAGAGATAAAACGGTGCCGCGAACCTCAAAGCTCAACGGCATCGCGAGACAGGGAAACAGTGTCGTTTGGCTAAAAACGGCACCGCGACAAGCGGCATCACGGATGAGTTAAAACGATACCGCGAGTAAGCCCAACGGTACCGTTGTGCTAGAGAAAACGACAGTGTTTAATATAAAACAATGTCGCGGAGGAAAAGCAAACGGAGCTGTTTGAGGAAGAAAACGACACCGCAAGTAAGCCCAACAATGTTGTGGTACGTGAAATATTTAATTAATGCGGTGTCGCAAGGCTAAAAATGCCAACGCAGCGGAATTTATGTTGCGGTCGCAAATTCAGTGGCGTTGCGAGTTCGACAACGCCGAGAAATTCAACGATGCCGCAAGGCCAAAACAACATCGTGGAGCTCAACGACGTAGTGAGCTTGACGGTGTTTCAAGCTGAGCAATGCCGTGAATGGGTTCAACGACGTCGTTATGGAAACTTTGTTGGTGGAGGTGTAAACGACGTCGCGGGCTCATGAAAATAACGGAGTTATTTTCTTGCACGGGAGATTCGGAAGTGAAGAGAATATCAAAGCAGTTGAAGACTACGACTCTGTGGATAAGAGTGAAGACACGTGGGAGTTCACGACGGAGCGGTTGAGGAAGCAGTTCCGCAGGGCGTGAAGACTATGCAAGTGATTTCAAATAAAAGCAGCGGAGCAAGGAGAGAGAAAGGGACAACCAAATCAACACAGAAACACCTCTGTCAAAACTTTACCTTTTCTCTGTAACTCCTTCGCGGAGCTCTCCTTCCAGGAAGGATCTCCATAGTTGTAGTCTTAGTCGTAGTCGCGGAGCTCTCCACAGGAATCTCCATAGGAGTAGCGGTAGCGTAGATTCCTAAAAACTCAAACACCCTCGTTCGAACGTAGTTTGGAGAGGTGCGAACCGTAGTAACGGTCGTTCTTGGTTAGAAGTCAGAGGTGCATCGATCAAATCAACATCGCCCCGCGGTGGATATTTGACGGTCACGTTGATTTCACCATTCAGAGGTGCATCGATCAAATCAATGGCGCCGACATTCGGCGGCGGATATTTGACGGTCATCTCGATTTCAACAATCAGCGGTGCATCCGATCAAACGGCACCTCAAGAGTTTCCACTGCGAGACATCAAATCAACATCGCCGGAAACCAAAATCGGCACCGGCGGTGGCATTTGATTTTCCCGAGGAAACATTTTGGCACGCCCGGTGGGATACGTGTGTTTGAAGTGAAATATGACTCTGCGGCATGGAAAACACTACATTGATCTTCCACAAGAATCTGTGAAGGTGGAGCATGTGGTCGGCATTGAAGTTTACCAAGCAGAGGAGGCAGATAGACATATCGGTTGGATGAAGGAGTGGCCCCAATCCATGTCGAGCATCGATGGGCATGTTGCACTCCTGTCTCTTCGTCGATCTGTAGAGGAGTATTACCGGCAGGTAAATCTCTATTTTATCTCTTTAAATAAGCCTTGTGATTCTCTTGGAAGACATATGGACCAATTTTTTGAGATGATAGATGAACATGTTTCCGGTATTGCCAATAAGGATTCACTTAAACTTGTGGCTAAAACAGTGGCGTTAGGGGCCAGCAAATCTCATGTTGGTTCTCCTGTGAACACTATTGTTTTGAATGACAGGAAAGTTAGAGCGGTCTTGCGAAAGCCACAACAAAGAACAAAATTTAAACGTGTTTATAATAAGTTTCAGAAAATTAGGAAGAACAAGTGTGATATCTTGAAAGATGACAAATTTTACGGCATTGTTCAATCTAAGCCGCTAGGGGGGCATGTCATCCCAGATCGTGGTAGATTGAAGGAGAAACAACACCGTAAGTGGCAAATAAGTTTGCCACATCCACCTTATTGTAAGAAAAATCGAACTGGGGTCACCACAGACACTATTCAAGATGGAGGTGGTGACCACGTGAAAAAAACCAATCCCGCAAGAATTGGCATGAATCAAAAGAACCCTCATTGTAATTTGTCCCCAAAGCCTCCACTGAGTGAACATGTGGGCAAATTCAATCAAACCCGACATGGGGTTGCCACGCCAATGCTGGCTGGGAACAAATCTTCCATGATTTTTGGGCAGGGGGGCAAGCTAAATGTCCAAAAAATTCCAATCCCACGTGAAAATTCAAAAGATACCAAGTGGTTATGTGATATGTGCAAAAATCAAAATAACCACATGACTGTTGATGAAGCTCGTAAGCCTCAAACTCAACAACGTCGTGAGTGTGTGTGCAGATGACAAAACAAGACCAGTCTGGGCAAGCGATGCCACATGGTCGATTTGGTAGGACAAAGACGTTAAAAAACTCCAATGTCCCGCCAAGAGTAAAAAACACCGGTGATTTTCTCTGTCACGGCCCTATGACGGTCATCTCGAGGAAACAGTTTCTTTTTAAATATTCACTTGTTTTTTAATCATGAATCTTTTTCATAAAACTTAATTTTGACACATAGTTATTTGTTTTACCCACAAAGTTCTTATTAAAAAATAAATACATAAATACTTACTATGACGTAGCTAGAAATTCATCTAAAATGGGTCAAATATGGAATATACATATATGGATGGTTCTATCGTACACCAGTTCTTTCCTGATGATGTATGAAATCATACTAGTCCCAGACTTTCTTTTCTCTCTCTCCCACCCATGACAGGACCGTTCTACAACCTGGTGTATGTCGTGCACCGGACAATCTCCACCATCTACGTTCGTCTCAACGGCCAGCATAAATGAGATAATTTATTTTTTAATCCCACAAAAAAGAACCCGCATTAATGTTGGTTGTTGAGATCGACGTGGACGGTGAAGATTGCTGGTGTATGACATACCCCAATATATGTCTGGTGTACGATAGAAGTCATCATATATATATATATATATATAATGTATGTTATAGAATATGCTCGTGTTTTGAAAAAATATTCTAAAATACATTTATCATGCAAACTATGAGAGATGTTAAGATATCACATGGAAAAATCTCTCATGATCCCACAACTCATCTTACTTAGAAGTGTTTCTTTACTTTGCTTATTGCAATAAGTGCTCTTTCAACACTTGAATGACAATAGATACTAGATAGTAACAAACACCATTAAGTTTTAAGTTTTTGTTTATATTACACTCACTTCCATAATATATGAATTAAAAATAAAATGTAGATCGCAAAACATTAGTTTTTCTAAAATTATCTACATTAATGTAGAGATTTTGTATTCAATCAACAATCGCATAAATATAATTACTCCAATTTTTGGACTAAGATAGTGCATATTAAACACCTTGGCTAGCCACTGAATACTTAGAAGATTTGAGATTTTGACCAATTGTCTTGGGCTATCTTTATATGTCAATGTCAACTCTTAGCAACATAACTGTCTTGAAAATATATATGAATCAAAAATGAATTCGCATTTTGATCATTTATAGGTTCTTAAAACCCAGCATGTGAGTTTTATCCTTCCATATTACTAGGCCACCATTGAGTTCCTAGTTAGAATTTCCGTGAATAATTGTATTATTCTCATTTGGAGTTAATAGTAAAACAAGTTAATAATATAAAAATTTAAGAAAAAAATACTTGATAAGCAATTTATGGAAACAAAAAAAAAAGTATTCTAAAATATGAAAAATTATATAGACTATTCTAAGCTAGGATGAATGATCAATAAAATACCTGAGTTAATTATCACTAATCTGTATGTAACAACTAGCATAATGTACTATAGGGGCAATATAGTATTTTGTTATGTTAGGTCGATTAGGGTTTCGTGTCAGGGTCTATATAATGTACTTTATCGTTCAGTAAAAGAATCAATAAAAAAATAGTTCTACGTATCTCCCAACCCTAATTTCCTCTCTTCTCCCTAAATCGGCTGCCGGCCGGTTCTTACTCTTCTTCTCTCCAAATCTTGTCTCATCTCTCTATTTCTATTCTTAATCACATCCTGTTACGATAATCTTGGGTGCCAAGATTCGTATCTATGTTAATTTCAAATCATGCGTAAACTATCAAGAAGATTCCAAATCATTTAAAAATGCGAATTAACTTATTAATGCAAATAGTAAAAGATGAAACGAAATTCCTTTGTTTGGTAAAAGCTAGTTTAAATATTACAAAGGAACACAGAGTAGTTTCGCAGACCCAGCTCTCCAATTCCCTATGCCAGCGACAGGAACACGGAAACTAAGAAGAAAGTCCCCAAGAAAACCAACATCCCAGGAAACCCAACCAACCCCAGCTTCGAACCTGATCCTGAACTCTTTTTCTTCTTCTTCACCACATCTTCCCTTTTCGTCCTACATTTCCTCTTCGAGACTGACCTCTTCCGCTTCTGATTCCATCTTTCGACGAATTTCAGATAGATGGCAATGCCAGGATTCTTCATGGTCACTTGGCTCTCTGCCAGGATGGAGTTGTTGACCCCCTGAACGTTGTTGTTCACGTATATGTTGATGCAGCAGGCCCCATCCTGAAGCTTCCTCGGAAGATCGTCGTCAGAATGAATGTACATCGAGGCACCGGAGTTCTTCCCTTCCATCTTGAACCCAGCATAACCACTTTCTGATTCCATGAGAATCTGCAGATTGGACGAAGTTTGAAGAGATGGAAATTCAAACAAGAGGGTTTGCAGCAACAATATTTATGGTCTTTTGGCAAGGGTGGGTGGGGTTTGGGGTGGTGTTGCACGAGGTTTCACCTGCTACAAGTAAGCTCAAAGTTTCAGTTTGGTATGACTTGAGCCACACTCTAGAGATCCAGACTTTGGCTGGCCTTCCTAGCTTCTGGTTCTTCCCCACTTGCTTGTCTATGAGCAAAACCATCAAGAGAGAAGCCAACAATTATGTACTGAATCGTAAGAGGGCAATGCACGTCGCATCTTGCGAATGCTAATGCTGAATGAACATAATTATATTGATAAAACCATCCAAATAACATGAAGCTGGTGGAAGTTCAGTTGTGTTCTTTTCTTCTGTGACTCAGTATGGAAAGTTTGCAACTTTTAGGGAAACCCATTGATATTATTACTGGCTTTATGAAACTCTACAAAAGATACCAAAGATACAACTGCATTTCTGATACATAGTCATAAACAAGTTCCACGGCGAGGCAAAGGTTATTCGGATGGATGTTCTTGCTTCTGAATCGCCACTAAGGGGAAACAATTCATGGACCGGAAATCAGTCCTTCACCTTCATGAGTCTAAAAAATATATGCCACAATTTTCACTGATCGTAAACATTCAGGAATCTGAATATCTAAGTTACGGCAAAGAGTCTGGTGATACTCCCTCGCTGACTGTAGAGCCCAATTGTGGGCCGCCCTTCCGGTAGGATAAGAGGAACTCGATAGGGTATCCTCTCAGTTTGTGTGGCTCAATCCCAAGATCAAGGAAGGTTAAAGCTGCAAAACAGACCAAGTGCAGGGGAACTGTAAGATAATATATTCAGAGTAGGAAGTAAAACCAGAAATCACTCAAATCAATTCACGGAACTAACCATTTTCTGAGACGAGGGTATCTGTTGAAATTGCATTTATCTTATCCAGGTTGAAGATACTTGGAGTAGGTAAAGGAAACGGAACCTTGTTAAGTAGGATTTCTCTTGGCATAGCAGCTGCCTGCAAGAATCCAACAGGCATTACTGCTGAATCATATTGCAAACTTCAACGTGAAATAACACCACCATATTGTTATGGAATAGACTAGGATAGCCAACAAACAAACAAACAGTTTTAGTATCCTTTATATCCAAGAACTACCTTGGCAACAGGAAGTGGAATTTTGACATAGCGAGGCCATTCACGGATTGTCTCAAACATGACCTCTGCCTGTAGAGCACAAAATAGCCTTTGAGTAACTGTCATCTACTGATTACCGCTGCAACAGGAAAGAAATAAGACAAAAATTACCAGTTCATGCATTGTAAAGATTTCTGGTCCACCAAGCTCATAGATTTTTCCCATACTGGTCCCATCATCTTTCAAAGCAGCAACAACTGCAGCCGCAACATCAACAACATATACAGGTTGGAACCTGAGACAAACATAAGGTTAGGAGATCATAGATACACTAAAATAGTCGAATAATTAAACTCTAGATACTTCTTATGTAGTACATACTTGGTTGATCCATCTCCAAAGAGAGGAACAAATGAATACTTCTTCGCGAAGTGTGCCCATGTGTTCAACATACGATCTTCTGTACCAATCATTGTAGCAGGTCTCAAAACTGTGGCCTACAGCGTACACTTGTACATCAGAAATGCATGACAAAGGCAATCAAAGTAGGCATCAAAACTGAAACAGATACATATAGATAAGTAGACAAAGAGAAAGACAATGAGAGCTACGTGGGGAAAGCAACCAGCTTGCATCCCTAGGATAATTCAAAATGGAACCATTAGTCATTGATTTCACATCTCTCAAAAGAATGTTCAAGCACTAAAATCTATTAGAAAACTGAAGTTACGGCTAAGAATTTTCCTTTCACAGATAGCAGCTAAGTTATACTAAAATGTAAATGCTGGCCTTTTTCTTTCAACACTGCATTCTCTTATCTTTAACCATTTTCACCAAGTAGAATCACTTATAAAGCAAAACAGCACTTCCATCATGAGGTAACCAACATGACTCCATTCCTTTATTATCAAATTCCTCAGCAATATTTTAAACTGATACCTATATCTTACCGAAACATGACAGATACACATAAGAAACCTGAAAATCAAATTTCATCGGACAGTTGCATAAATTGGTGAAGAAGAATTTACTAGTTGTTACAAGTTCACAATCATAAAATTTGTCAATATTCTAATGTGATAACAGTTCAACAAAGAAAAATTGATAAACAAAGTAAATTCATATACTTTGACAAGGAAATAAAAACAGAATAGATTCTAACCTCGGGTATTTCTCTTAGAACAGACTGCTCTGCAGCTGCCTTAGCTTTCAGATATCTTGATGGAGATGATGGCGAAGCTCCCAGACAAGAAACCTGAATAAATCTCATGATACCTCCATGCTCTTTCGCGATCTGTGCAAGTCAATTAGACTCATGAAGATTTTGGATAACTTTGGTGCCTAAAAAGGAAATAACACATGAAAAGGTAACTGAAGCCTAAGACTCTTGACACAAAGTCATGATAAAACCAGTCAATGAGGAACGGATGAGAAAAGATACACCTTTCCAATCAGATCATTCCTCTTCATGTACTTACAGCTGAAGTTCTGTTCACATCTATTATTACCATTAGTTTTCTTTACACTATGACAATTAAAAGGAAAAAGTGTTGGGTCCATACTGTACTCAACAGCTGATCAGCAATTGCTAAATTTCTAGTTGCTAATATAGGAACGTAACAACTTGTTCCTTAAATGACAATTAATCATACTGCATGGAAATCTCTGCATATTTTCTCACTGGTTTTCCCTTTCCTTACATTACATATGATATCAAACATGACCCAGTTCATAAATAATATCAGTGGTTTGAGGCTTCTGAAAGATTACTCAGATTACGAGGTGAACAAAGAAGCACCAGAAGCTAACAAATTCAACAGAATATCTCAATTTAGGTAAGAGGCATGTAAGAACCTACCGTGGCAAATTTTTCAGCCATGCCATGGTTAACTTCCTCAAAGCTGTAGTTCCTTGTTTCATAGTCCCTTCCTGTCAACAGGGAAATGTGACTCATTAAGCTAAATAAAAACACTCTTGGACTTTGAAAAGCCTGTCAAGCCACAGGTGAAAAAAATTACCCATAAGATTGATAACAACATTAGCCTTCGCCATCACAGCCTTCACGGAATCTTCATCTCTTGGGTTGAAATGCATTGGTACAACCTGAACATGAAAATATGTGAAATGGCCACACCACAGGAAGCATTGAATCAAAGAGCCCATTACATGGAGTCCTTCCACTCAAAGTTGAATAGCAAAAGCACATTACCTGACCCAAATCGCCCATCAACTTTAGGTGGCGATGGGCATCTTCACCACCACGAAATGGAACTAAAACCTGCGATCCCATTTTAGCTGCAGCAGCAAAAATGACAGTAAGTCGTAACATTAAGAAAATGCAGAACGGGGGGAGCAATGGTTAAACCAAGATGATAGGATAACGAGAGGGGAAGACGGCGGGAGGAATGCCGAATGCAAAGTGGGATAGGAGAGAAATTAATAGGACTTCCATATGGTAATGTACAAAATTGACAGTAAGAACGACTCACCAAGTTGCTGCACAACATAACGACCTAGAAAACCTGTAGCTCCAAAGACTACAGCAATGAGCCCACTGCAGCAAAACACAAAAGTAAAAACATTTCATGACTACTAGATTCCGCTGTGCCCAATTCCGAACTGAAACAAACAAAATCTTCTTTTCAACCCAAATGGCAGCTAATCCCGCTCCATTCGCAATTCAGCCAAAAAAAAAAACTAACTAATCCTTGGGAATCAAGGGTTGGAGAAGGGGAATCAGATTCTTACCTGACCGACGATCTCCCGCCGGTACCCTTCCGGACAAGGTGGCCTACACCCTTCGGGGTTATAGTTGATATGTAGCGCGGATGTTCAACTCCATAATCTGCCAAAGGGAAAAAGTAAGTAGGATCCCAAATGAAGCAAATTCGAGGCATCGGCGCAGAGAACCCTGTGTAAATCGGAGGAAATGGAACATTACAGTGATCGGAGAGCGGGTAGACAGATTTGAGAGAGGAGACGGAAGCAGCGGGCTTCAGGTAACGTTGCCCTAATCGCCTCGAAACCGCCTGCATCGTTCTGGCTTTCCACGGAGAGACAGAGAGAGAATGAGAAGAACGATCTGCACAGAGAGAGAGAGAGAGAGAGACGGGGAGGGAGAGGGAGAAACGAGCTCAGAGCAGAGGTAGGACTTCTGGGTTTGAGATGGGCCGATGCTTTTTGGGCCCATGAAATTGACCCGACAATTGTCTTCTAATTTATTTCGCAAATACCAATGGGCCTCACCGTACATGATGGTTGATTATGAATTTATGATGGTCGAAAATCGATACATTAGCAGAAGCGCACCAGTTTATGGCGGGTTAATTGGTTCGGGTGCATAATCTTAGGCTAACCACAATCCGAGGGCAGAAATTGGAGGTTTTAAGACTATTTTAGTCTTTTAGCCCCCTCGAAAACAGAAATTGCTGCAATTCTGATGGCTAAAAATTACTGTTTTGTATTTAGTAATCTTAACTTATGAATAGTTAAATTTATGTTTTTAAATTTAAAATTTATATATTCATTCACGATAATTGAATACGAACATTCCGATAAAATTTGAACAAATTCGTAGATACTTTGTTTTTAGTTGAAATGGAAGAAAGTTACACTGAAATGAACTACGTTCATCAAAATTATCAAGATTTTGAACAATTTCGGAGATACTTTTTTTAGTTGAAATGGAAGAACGTTCCAATTTTTTAATATTCTTTTTTTTTTCAAATAACAATCGAACGGTTGAAAGTTACAACGAAAGGAGCTTTATTAGTTAAAAGCACTCACACCAACACAAGTATATTCAATTTAAGTACTAAAACAAAGAAAAGCTAGAATAATTCCCACCATTTTAGGCTCTCATCATTTTAGCCTCCTCTTAAAACCCCCAAATAAGAGCTAAAATACCCCTAAAACCCCTTATGGCCTTTTACCACCCCCACACCCCCCCCCCCCCCCCCCCCCCCCCCCCCCCCCACACCCCAAAATTTACCCTATGGTTGAAGATATTTTATTGGGTCTAAAAGGGCATTTCCCCCTTTTAGCCCTAGGGTTGTGGACAGGCTGAGAGTGCATAACTATGAGTAACCAAATCTGAACTCTTCGACTACAGATCTAAGGGTGGAGAATTAAATAAATTTATTTTCCCTAATTTTCTTAATTAGACCATATCTTCTTCATTCTAACTCGGATTTCAATTTATTTATTTTTTTGCACAGATGGAACGAGTTTGTTGTGCTCTACAAAATGAGATCTATTTTCAATATTTTTTTAGAAAAAAAATTAACCTCTCGGTATCAACTTCGTGTCATATGGTATCTCGTACGTTTTTTAGTCGTTTTCGAAAATTTTTGCGCAGAAGGAACAATTTAATCATGATCTATTGGATTTCAAAATTTTCTGAGTGAAAAAATTTCATACCTCTCATTACCAACTCCATACCATACTATACCACCCTGTTACGTGGTGGTATTTTTCATACCATATGGTATGCTCTTATTTAATACCAGTCAATACCATGTGGTATAGACTGGTAATAACTTGCTCAAATTTTTTTGTTCCAAAAAATATTAAAGTGGATATCATTTTGAAAGAGCACAATTAATCTGATCTAACTGTGCAAAAAAAATTAAATTATGACTTAAAACGAGTGAGAAATCGTCCGTTAAAGATTAAAAGAAGGAAAAGTAAAGTCTTTTCCAGGAAAAACAAGGGACGCTGATGTGGCGGATTCTGATTGGGTTATGCATGGGGTTATTGACAGGATCCGCTCCCCGGTTAATTGGAAGGAGAATAAAATCGTATCCGAGGTTGTATCAGGGAAGTTAGTGATAGTCTGATAGAGTATTTTGTGGTTTAATTTGTAGTTCAACTGTTTTATACTACTAAAAAATGCATCTCGGTTTAGACTCTATTACGAGGTTCTTCTTAATAGACCGTTGATATTGTACGGTCTCACAAACACTCATCCATTTGAGTTTATTTTCGAAGTCGCTCGCTTGTTGATTTAAGAAAAAAGTTTTAGTTAAAATCTGGGTTTTGCAAAAATCTGAATTTATGATAGAATTCGAAAATGTTCATTGTTAGTTGGATTTGTTCATGAATTTGTAATTATAAATTTATAGCTTTACAAATATGAATTACTATACTACAGTTAAAAAGCATATTTATTTTCAAATGAGGATATATAAGTAAATAATTATTATAGATTTAGGGCGTGTCTCAAATTCCACCTGATGGATAAGTCCATAGGCCACACAAATTTGTTCTCCAAAAAATTCGAAGCAAATAATTAATTTTTCTTAAGTGCATGATGTATTAATTTTGGACTCAAATCTATGAAGCCCTTACTTTTGGACTTTGCTACGGTGACATGCATGTCATGGTGACATGCACTTTTCGGTCGACCTCATATAAGATTAGGTCGACCTAATATGTTGTTTCAGTGTAAAAACAATTTCATGGTGTCTACTTTGGAGATTCATATCTTACAATTGGCTAGATGGAAATTGGAGATTAAAGGTTTTTTTTTGAAGCTGAAGTGTCCCTCTACAAATTAAAGTACTTGGGAGCTCAATAGAAAGTCCAAAGACCATTTTTGAACCTGACCAAAAGGCTATGCCAAAACTGGGAACCTGCCTGAAAATGGCTAAGTCTGGCAAAGTGTTTGTCAAGCCTACTTTGGAGCTCAGTTTGAGAAGCATGGATGCGAGTCAAGTCCAGGGGCCTCTACCACGTTAAATTACGTATTTCTTTTATACAAAGGCAATGCATTGGATGAAAGATTGAATATCTTTAAGGCTTCAAACAAAAGGCTAGAAGTTGCTACGAAGGCTGTTTCTGGCAGCTTGCTTGTGCTCGAAGCCTGCCAGAAAAACAGTCTTCGTAGCAACTTCGACCCTTTTGTTTGAAGCCTTACAGATATCCAATTTTTCATCCAATGCCTTGAATTTGTATAAAAACATACCTAATTTAACGTGGTAGAGGCTCCTGGACTCGACTCGCATTCATGCTTCTCGAATTGAGCTCCAAAATAGGCTTCACAAACATGTTTTCAGACTTAGCCATTTCCAGGCAGTTTCCCAGTTTTGGCATAGCCTTTTGATGAGGTTCAAAAATGGTCTTCTAGACTTCCTATCGAGCTCTCAATCACTTCAATATGTAGAGGGACACTCCATCTTCAAAACAAGTCATTAGTCTTCAATTTCCATATAGCCAATTGTATGATATGAATATCCAAAGTAGGCACCATGAACGGTTTTTACACTGAAACAACAGATTAGGTCGACCTGATCCTATATGAGGTCGACCGAATCCTAAATGAGGTCGACCAGATCCTATATGAGGTCGACCAAATTCTAAATGAGGTCGACCTAATCCTAACTGAAGTCAACCGGAAAGTGCAAGTCACGGTGACATGCATGTCACCGTAGGCACACCCCTTACTTTTTATATGTCGTTGCATGGCGAGTGGATTGACAGGAGATTTTTTTTCATATAATAATATTATTATTATATTGGTTAAACCAATTTATTAAAATGATCAAGTTTTGGTTTGGTTAATTTGATTTTCTTATCAATTTGGTTGGTTTAGTTAAGTTATTTTATTCCAAGGTTATAGAATTTTGGCTTAAATTATTTAATTATAACATGGTTATCATTTGAACACCTCTTGTTTGTGGGGCGTTTAAGAATTGACCAGCAATAGTTTTCCAATGATTAATGTGATTATTTTCGATCACATGTTGTTTAAACTAGTGAGAGTTATTGGATGTTTTCCAATGGTCCTTCGATTGGTGTGTTTGGAAGTCTCGAAATATAGTGACTTTTCCTTGCACAATTATCCTCTCTTATATTGGTTTTAAGTTCTCGTTTCAGGTGGCAGCATGACTCAAAATTTTGTTTTATGCTAGTTGCTTGCAGATATGGATCTTTGATGGTGTTACTCGTAGGGTTTCGTATGGTGCTGATGTGTAGGGTTTCGTATGATCAAACAACAGTGCAATGGGTGATGCTGAGACATACTTGGCGATTGAGGACATGATGACACTGAATTTGCTCATGTTTGTCCCTATGTTTCTTGATCATTTACCCTTGTTCCTATGTTTTCTGAACCACTAACTTTTCCGATTCAGCCTTCGGTCCGATTCTGAAAATAGAGAGGAAAAACCCAAAACACACATTTTCCTAAAACCTAGACCGAAACCATTAAGGACATAAACATTTTTAGTTAGACCGATAGGATATCGGAATCGGGGGAACTTAAACGTTTCGGTTTTCCGGTGCTAAACCGTTTTGCAACTTGAGCAGACTGTGAATGAGTGAGGGAGTGAATGAATATGGACTTTTATTTGGTTGCGTCGCCCACTGCAGGTTTTTAATAAGCCAGTTTTACTACTGACAAATATGCTTCCATTCATGAATTGGTTCTGCCACGGAGTTGACAATGCGCCCGCACACACCCTCTCTCTATCTATAAATTGAAGCCTTGCTGCAAATGCAGTTGCTCAGTATACATGATTGCCCATTTGGGCCACATTTCCACTCACCTTTCAACATGGACATGATTCATAATCAGATTGATGATGACATTGCAGCATAATGCTGCAATATTGCAGTAAAATGCAACAAGCAAAACATTGTTCTTACGTCTAACAAGAACATGAAACCAATCCTGCCAAGCTATAAAATAAATAAGGAGGGAAGAAGAGAGAAGAAACTTAGCAAAACTCAATCCTCGCGCCACATTCGTGAACACTTCTCATTCAGGCAAAAGTAAAATGTGGTTGCCGGCTCATCTGCTGATCGGATTTGCAGCTGCTGGTATCGGGCCTTCCCGAAATTACAATGAGGACAGGTTGCTGCATCCAACAAACATACAAACAAGAGCATCAGAATCTGCACCATCGATCGTCATCATCGAGTAATAATGTGTACAATCTTAATCAAGACCCTTAACGAACATCAAAATCCTGTTCTCCACTTTCGATGGTGCATTGATTCAATTCCTACTGTTCTTTTGCACTTTCAACTTTACCAATATCGAAACAGAACCCAAAACTCGCGATACGATCAATGCCAACATAGACTCGATCGATCATTCATGAAACTAAGCGAGGCAACAAAAACCCTCACCTTCAGTTTCGGAGCCTCCCTTCATCATGTCTTCGAGGGTGAAAACAGGCTCAACTTCTTTCTTGACAAGCTGCAGCTTTCTCTTGATCTTAACCTGTGACAATCGGAACGAAACGGTTCATCGTAATGGGTTTTATACCAATCAAACACTCTGTGCTAAAGATCGAACGAGTAATAACAAGTATGAAAAATACCCCGGTCTGAACTGAACAGACATATGGACACGTCCGGCAAAAGAATCTGGCGGGATGCCTCTCCGCCGGTAACTCGTACCTCAACAACGTTCCACAGGTTGGGCAAAATTCCATTCCCAGCTTCCTTCTTCGCAGGCGGCCGGCAAGCAAAACTGGGAGAGAGGGAGGCGGAGCAAGGGCTTTTTCGATTAGGACGAACTGACTGAAAGCCCTGGTTTGATTCGCTGCTTAAAAGAAAAAGTGTGTGTTCCGTAGTGCGAAATATAGAAGCAGAAGAAGCAGGGCGTTCTTAGGCCCAGAAAAGGCCCAGACCGATACCGAACCTAAACTAACTGGGCCCAAATCCTGGATTGGCATGAAATCAGAAAAGGAGAGGAATGGGAAATATTACCTAGCTCCTTGGATTCGATTCAAAAACCTGCATCAAACGCTGGCAAACAAATCGGAACGCCTAATTACCCAGATTTTCCCTCTTCCAGCCTCTGATTGTGCGGCGTTTCTTCGCTGCCGGCGACTCCGTCCTCTTATCGAAAACCCTCTTATTAGTTTGGGGTCGTTGGAGCAGGATTTCGGTGTTAGGCAGCGATGTGATCGGAGAGAAATAGGATGAATCGAGAAACCGAGGAGGTTCTTTGTTGCACAAGTTGTTTTTGGGCGAAAAGGAAATCGGTAAAGAGAGCAAGAGAGAATAACGAGAGAGGGAGGAATGACAGAGAGAGCTGCGTTTTACTTTCTTTTCCTTTCATTTCCTCTTTTACAGGGAACAAACGGGAGGAAGTGGGAACGGATAGGTCAACAACCACACTAATTATGAGTAACATGTCCACATCAGCATGATATCAATATTCTCTCTTTCCTGGAAAATCTTTTATTTATTCACTTTTAATCTTTAACGAACGATTTCTCTCAAGTTTTAAGTCGAAATTTAATTTTTTTGCACATATAAATCAGATTAAATGTGCTCTTTAAAATGATATCCACTTTGATATATTTTTAGTACAAAAAAATTGAATAATTTTTTACCAGTCATTACCATATGAGTATTAAATAGGAGTATACTAACTGGCATACCATATGGTAATGAAGCGTACCATGATGGTATGAACATACCAATATGGTAAGAAGGTTGAATACATGATAATAGGAGTATACTAACTGGCATTTACGACTTTCATCATTGTTTACTACAAATTACCACAAGTTACCACCCACATACCATATTGGTAAAGTATGGTAATTTTTTATTCCCTAAAAAAAAAGTATGGTAATTTTTTATCTAGTATTTTTTTCACTCAGAAATTTATAGATCCAATAGATCATGATGAACTCGTTCCTTCTGAGCAAACGTTTTCAAAAACGACTTAAAAACGAAAGAGTTACCATATGGTATGTAGTTGGTAAAAAAAAGAGTTTCTCGAAATATATTGAAAATTGATCTCATTTTGTAGAGCACAACGAACTCGTTCCATCTATGCAAAAAAATTGAAATCCGAGTTAGAAGGAAGAAGATAAGAGCCGATGAAGAAAAGTAGTAAAAAAATGCCTTTAATTGACAACCCTTAGATCTGAATTTTCTGGACCCACTTAGATTTAAAGGTCCAGATTTAGAGAGAGAAGAGAGAGAAGCTGAAGGAAGGAGAAGAAGGAGAAGTAACTTGAAGAGAGGAGGCATCTTACTCAACCTCAAGTCTTCTTCAATTTCTTCTATGCATCTTCTTACCACCTTTATGGAGTAGTCCTCTAAGGTACTAGGGGTTCTAAACCCCAAACCCTAGTTTTAGGGTTTATTATGCATGTATGGATATTTTAGGGTTTGAATGAATGTGTTTATCTAGTTGATTCTATTGTTATTCTATCTTTGATTGTGTTTGGGTAAGTCGCCCTAATCTTCTCTATTAGCCTACTTTATGCTTCTACGCTAGGTATGAAGTTCTAGGGTTATACGGGTATGCACCATCAAGCAAATCGAGGTAGATGTATGAATAGGGACCTATGGTGGTCGAGGTGACCGAACCCCTGCTATAGATGGCCTTCCTAGATAGAACCTGAGATAAAACCTCGGTGTGGACAGTGGATAGTATCCATTGAAAGGAGCTATGACCTTAGTGCCCCAGATACGGTATCCTAGATCGAGGTGACTTTATATGAGTTTAGTGGAGGCGTACTCGGAGGTGTGTGGATAACCAGGAAAGCCACCGGAAATGAGCTCACTCAGCACATCCGATAACCCTAAGTATCTAGATATACACAGTAGCACTAGACTAGGGTAATGGATAGTTCCTCGAAGTATCTAGATATACATAGATGTTTGCATGAATGAGCCAAAATTATGTGGCTTGCCCTCTATCAACTTTTAATTGAAAATGGCTTCCTATTTTGTTTACCAACCAGACAAGTAGAAAACAAATTAGGAGTTCATTTTATATCTAGTAGAACAATCACCGTTCTTTTCTTCTGTAAACCAATAAGTCATTGGTTATTGAGATGAACAAATATGCTATAGCATATATTTAGTGTTTCTAGCTCATTTTACGTGTCTTGAAGACACTAAATGTATTCCTTTGAACCAAATACGAGCAAGTCACAATGAAGTACAAACATACGGTTTGTCTTCATGTGAAGTTGCACGAGTAACCCCTTGGACTCATGCAACTCTTTGCAGATGTTTCTCTTGATCAAGAACTTCAGACCCTTTTTAATTTTCGTGTAGCAGGACCAAATTTTGAGCAGGGTTTTTTATACCAGACAAGTCTGAAGGTATAGTTTCACCTGTATAGTACCTTTCCTGTCTTGTACTTCCCTTTGTGTCATTTCCAAGTGATCGTGTGTTCGAATCTCCACGACCCTCAATATTGACCTTTGATTAAAGCACAAGGTACGGTGGGCCTGTGCAAACTTCAAGTCCATGGGTTGGCTTTCGTTTGAGGTGGCGTGTAAGAGTGTGGTATAAGATCCAGCAGAACCTTCTCCCAACAACTCGAGTTATTGGGATTAACTGGTTCTTGACATGATATCAGAGCCTTATGTGACCAAGAGGTCTTGTATTCGATTCCCGGTGACCCTCATTTGTTAAGCACATGGTATTCTTGTGTTCAGACCTGTGCAAACTTCAAGCCCTTGTGAGTGGCTTTCGTTTGAGGGGGCATGTTAGTGTTGTGGTATATGATCCATGATTGAACCTCTCCCAACAACTCGAGTTATTGAGATCAACTGGTTCTTGACAGTAAACCAGTCCTTGTTTCTTATTATGTGGTTGCTGCAAACCTAAATCAAGAAACCACCAGCCTTTTTGACTAGCATCCTGTTGTATCTAATCAATTACAAACACCAACATAACATTATCTTTCATAAGATTATATTCATTTTCGCTTTTACGTTTTACGCTTTTACCCATTTTTCGCTTCTAAGTTCTAACTAGAATCGTTTTGTCTGCATTGTTCATATCCATAGAATATCATAAATGAGCATGCTTATTATACCAGTTAGGATATTCGTTTATGAAACGACTCAATTTATGCAACTTGAATCACTATATTGTAACTCTGCTCCATCCTTTTCTACTTCTGCCGCTTCTGCAATATCAGGAGGTCACCGACAGAAAATCACGATTTAGCGTAAATGAGAACCAAATGAAGGAGACTGGCTTGTGGCATCGTAACACAACTTTCAACTTCCAACCTAGATACAAAGTTATGGATAAAGAATAGTATAACTCCACAAACTGAAAAAAAAACAGAAGAAACAATATTATAGCCACACCTTAACAAGAACGATGGAGCCGTAACAGGCTTGGAATCAGCACTTTCTGCACACCAATCAAGTTAAATCATACTACTATAACCATCTTCATCATACATGCTCATGTAACACATTATGGCTATCACAAATATGAAAAATGACGAAAGTTCCATTGCCAGTGCTCCCCACCCAATAATGCCAGCATGTTTCAAGATTGCAGGTATGGCAATGCTTCCTACTGTAGATGCTCCTGTGAAAAACTTGCTTGCGTTCACCCAGCTGTTCATTGTTCATCAGGAATCGCAGGGGGAAAAAAATGTCGGTTAATCTCATGTTCAATATGCAAGCTCATATTGGCCAAACTCGGATTTGGAATCTCTTGAAAACAGGGGATATGGAGCGTCACCTGCTATCAGATTCTTGAAAGATGGATTCTGAGCCAGCAAAGAACAGCAATGGCATTGGAAGAATCACATACATCACAACTGCAAGAACATAGGAAGTTAGAACACTGATTGTGTTGATCTTTCTAATTTTGAAGGAAGATAATCACTATGAGCCAATGATCATCAACGATCCACACAGACAGAAAGGGAACTGCGAATGGGGAGTTGCATATATAGGCGTTGTCAGCATATACAATGGTGGTAGTTTGAGGAATGTGAACCAACGATGATGCCAAGTCAGCTAGCTGTCAACAAACTTGAGGTGGTTTTTTCTAAAGGCAGCAGATAAGGAATTCACCATACTACGCAACCAATATAGCATCTGAGCGGACAACAACAGGGTTTGTTATCTTAAGATAAGTCCAAAGACTGGACAACAGCCTGTATTAGGGGGTTCATAAATTCTGAAAACCAATCCATTTACTCTTAGCATCCAGTAGGCAAAGGCAGACAATGATTCCTGCAACTCCTTCAGCGAAATACATTTTCGTTGATAGTTCTTCTACCATTGACTGCCAGACAGACATAATCGACGGAAAAGAGAAATAGGCAAAAGAAGAAGCTCTCAAGTCATAGAAAAAAGAGATTTGCAGTATCAGCTTGCAGGGACAAGAGGCTAACCAATCAAATTAAATGCATGACAGATTGGTCATGTTGTTCATCAGCTGTGGAGGTAATTCAAGCAAATCCTATTCAATTGGAAAGTAATCACTTACCAGTTAGCATCGGCCACCAATTATTGTACAGAGCACACGCCTGAAAATGCCAAAAATGATGATAGACAAGCAATGGTTACCTCTCAACACTCGAAAGCATTTGGTTAAGGAACCCATTATGCAAATTTCAAAGGTAATCAACATCTGAGAGAACTACTACTGACCAGGACTTGGAGCACAATTCCCCCAGAAACAAGAATAGCTAGCATAGCAAGGTGACCAGTTTGCAAGCAAGAACGCACGTAACCTGGTAAGTCCGCCATCACTGGACTCGAGTTGCCTCAACTCATATACCGGATCAGGGCAGCTGATAGATATGATGATAGAACCACGATTACTGCGTAAACACTGAACACCAAATGAAACGAAAGAAATGGAATAGAGTTCCGGCCTTCCGGGCGTTCTGTGGAATTCGTGAATCTAAAGCGATTAATCAACAACCAATGCTCAAAGAGAAGAAAAGGGGGAGAATAAAGAGAAGGAAACTTCTCCAAGCAACGGGTTTCTCACCAACCGCCGTCCGATAGCCAGATCACCGCCGGTCGTCCGGCGTGAAATTTTCAATTGCCTCACGATCCAAAATCAACCAGCCCGTGGTCCAAGATCGCTTGCCGCTGGTAAACCCTCGCGCCAGGTTAGGGTGGTTGAGCTGAACTACCTTCTCTTCCTTCTGATTTTTTTGTGGGTAAATTACAAGTTTGCTCATCGGTTTATTAAATTGTTACAAGTTTGGTACTAAGTATTTTTTATTTATTTGTGATCACTGAGATTATTTAGTAGTAGGGGTGACCAATGCAGTCAAATTCGCGCTTCAAAAATTACAAACTTGCGATTTTACGCTTTTAAGTCAGCAAAACACTTTCGTTTCTATATAAAAACTTTAGTGTATAAAATCGGACAAAATTGACGCTTTAAACCTTAAAAGCTTACGCTTTTACGGTTCTAGTTCACCAAAACGCTTAACGTTTTTACGCTTTTAGTTCACTAAATAGGTATTATTTTCATGAAATTTGAAGAGGCTATAAGTACATACCAGGTGCTTGGATGCATTCTCAACTTCAATACAGTAATCTAATTCACCAGCTAGGCTCTTCCCAAATTCATTAGCATAGAGGGGACAGTGGCTTATTGTTAAGATTTATGTTTATGAACTTATTATTAAGAGGCTATAAGTTGTTCTACTTTAGGCATGAATTGCAGGTATTTAGTAACTTCACTAAATTATGTGCACTCATATTTTATATGGTATATGTCGTACTTAACAGATTTTTAGTTATTTTACAGCATGCATCAAAAACTTGCGTTTTTACGCTTTAATTCTACGCTTTACGATTTTACCATTTTTACGCTTCTAGGTAGAATCGCGTTTTTGATTGCATTGGGGCAAGGTTGTCAAACCGGTTTATGCCAGTGTGCCGGTTTAGCAAGTGGAATGGTTCAACCGGTGGCACATACCGGTTTGTGCCGGTTCATGCCGGTCAATATTACAAATAAAATTATAAATACTCATATTTAATCATGACATTTAATGTCAATACCTGAACATTTATATTTGAATCCAACAAATAACATCAATATTTAACTTTTATACTCATAAAATAATAATAAAATAATTTTTATCAATTAAATTCTCTAAAATAAGGTCATTTTACTTAGAGATTCGTATATCGATCATGTCGGTCATACCGGTGGTGTCACGCCAATTTTATGACCGGTACCGGTTGAACCCGGTACAACCGGTGGCACGCCGGCCGGCGTGACAACCATGCATTGGGGATAAACGTTTGTCATTAGTCGGTTAACCGCACAACTGAACCAAGAATATTGGTCGGTCGGCTATTAAATGCGCCTTCAGTGTCGGTTGGGGATTTAGAGGGATTAGGCTAACCTATCAGTCTTCGGTAAGTAACTGAAAACCCGACAGTGCATCGATGCTAACCAATCAAGTTGGTGATGGCAAATATAATTAGCAGTTACGTATAACCGATCAACTAATCCGACACGACTCGGTCTTGATTTTGGCTAACCAACAGTCCCAAGTAGTGGCGGACATGATTGGCAGTTCTGGCCCCAAATTGGTGGTGGTTAACCGAAATATCGGTGCGATTAAAGGTTGTCAACCCACGGGTTGACTCGCGGGTCAACCCACTTTGACCCTGATCCAGTGAGAAAAACGAGTCGCACGCACCCGTCGGGTCGACCGCTACAAGATATCAGGTTGGAGGTCAAATTGTGTCATTTTTTTTCTTTGGTTTACGAAATGCGCCTATTTTTCGATTTTTCTTTTCACCTAACTCAATCTTTGGAATCCTTAGTTGAACACTTGAATATTGATGTTATATAAGTGTGATTCAATTTTCACTATATGTTGGATCTAAGGGGTCGTTTGGAAGTTGAGATTTCAAGTGAGGTATTTAGCCAATACATGTAATGATAAGATTAAGTCGTTTTTTTTGTTCAATTTGAGTTAGAATGCATGTATTACCTTTTTCTTGGCCCACCCACAATCACTCAAAATGAATGATTGTCAATCTCTACAAAAAGTAGATATTGTTAACAAGGGATTGTCTACCCTACTTTTTGCTCAATCATTATCTTTCCAAACAAGGTATTTTCCTAATACATGCATTGAATCAATACATCAAATAATAATACATGAATTGATTAAATGCATCTATTTGGAGAATCTCAACTTCCAAACATGCCCTAAGTACTGCATGTTACTTTGGTGTTATGTTATATGTTATTACTCATATGTTAGATGAGATTTGATATAATTTATTAGAATAAGTACAATATAATGACTATTTACATATTTCCGAGCTAAAGCGGGCTAAAACGGGTGACCCGTTAACCCTTGACCCACCGACTTGACCGGGTCCGGGTCAACCCACGTGTTGACAATCTTTTAAACTAAAACCCCACCAATTATTAGCCTTATCCAATAGTTCAAATTTTGGTCGATAGCCATTACCTTCCGCTAGTCTTCGTTACCGCCGTTATTTTTTTAAGTAGATCAAAGTTCAACCAATTGAATCGAGATCAACTCAACTAACTCGAATGTGTAAAACAATCCCTGGCCCTGCATTCGTATCCGAATCCACCTTTAAATGCAAATCATCAGCTGCCGACATTTTATTCCAAGAAGAAAAAAAAGGACTGCTACCGACATGAAAAGGCAGCTTATAGGCTAGCTGTACTTTGTAACGTGTATCTCTCAATTTTGTCCCGGTTGTTTGAATTATTTGGAAACTTTTAATTAATGTTTTCCACGCACTTATTATAAATCATGTATGTTGTTTTGAGAAATGGTTGAAAATTTGATTAGGCAAATCCCACTTCGATAAACAACGGGAGACATTTATGGTTTATAAGTAAGAAACCGACATTAATCGACAAGATGCGTTTTAGAGTGAAATGCATGAGTTCTTGTGAGAACGCTGAAGTTAAAACGTGCACAATATGGAGTATAACAACAAGTAAGAAACCGGCTTTAACTAACAAGAATTGTTTTGGAGTGAAATGCATAAGTTCTTATGCAAAACTCTAAAGTTAAACGTACACATTGTGGTAATACAAAAATCATGAGAGTCAGAAATTCAAATCGAACAATATCTTGCTCAGGAAAATTTCATCTATGTTAGAGAATCTACGTGCAAATAAAAAAAATCCTTTTAAATAAATAGTACGATTTTTTTTTTTATTTATCAAAATCCTCGGCTTCTACACCACCAACGCCACCAACAGATCATAGCAGTGCTGTGGAGCATTAACATTGGTTTCCTGTTGGTAGGGACGATGGACGGCCCCACCCCCACGACCCTCTCTTTCCCAAATTCTGGAATTTCGTCGATGGGAATCGATTAAATGGCGATCGCAACGCTTTTCTTACGCGATCCACTCCTCGAAAACCCTGGCTGGTTTACGCATTGCTTGTCTCGAATAGCAGCTGAGGACGAGAGGGAGCAAAAAAGGGGTTAAGGAAGGAGATGTTGAATTGCAAGTGTTTCCAGCGAAATAATTTGCCGAATTATTCGGCCTATGAACCTGATACTTTCTCCCTTCCTGATCCTCTACCCAGTTGGCCTCCAGGTAAACTACCCTCTAATCCTTCTCACTTGTTTCTTCTTTGCTTGATCAGTCTTTCTCTGTTTCTATTCCTTTCTTTTTTTTTATGAAATTCCCGTACAGTCTCTTGAGCTACACTTCACCTTTCATTTCAGCTGATTGCCGTTTCTGGGTTTTAATTGTGTGTTGATTGCCGTTTCTGGGTTGTAGTTGTGAGTGGCATTGATCTTAAGGGTTTAGTGAGAGTTCTGTTGTGGCTGCCTCTATTTTAGCACAGCAGCCCTGTTTACCATGTGACAGACAGTGGGGCATCAAAATGCATCGCTAGTGGAGTGGTGCATTTTTATCAATGATGAAGGAATGCTGACAAAGATGATACTTCTGGAACCTTGCTTCTGTCAGATTTTGCATGATTTTAACTCAAAACTGAATCGTTGTTAGTGAGCTATTGAAATGGTTGTGAACAAGCCATTGCATGAAAAGGACAGAATATTGGGATTTCTTTGTCTGAGCTTCTTTTCCATTCTGCGCGTGATGCTGGTTGCATAACTCGACCATTTTGGGTTCGTTTCATTCACTTGATTTTGGGAGTTTTATGTTTACATTCTTTATGTTTTGCCATCTATGCCGCCGTATTCCTCAATGTTAAGAGATGCAGTACAACCTCGATCATCCAGCTCTGCCTCTATATTTTCCCCCTTTGTTGTAAGACTTTCATTTGTTCAGAAAGGCCACTCAATACCCATTCTGTTAGGTGTTTCCATTGTCATTTTCTCCTTTCTTGTACCTACGGTTGCTTCCCCTTGAAGTTGGAGCGTCTCTTTTACTTAACATGGTTGTCTTTTCCTTATTTTTCACAGGTCAAGGGTTTGCTTGTGGAAGAATAGGTCTATCAGAAATTGAAGTTGTTAAAATCTCCAAGTTCCGCTTCATATGGGGCTATGGGTTCTCACAAGATAGGAAGAAAGGTGTTTCGTTCTATAAGCCCGTGGGAGTTCCTCGTGGGTTCTACTGCCTTGGGCACTATTGTCAAGCCAATAAACATCCAATAACAGGTTTTCTTCTAGTGGCTAGGGAGGTGGCTTCTACTCGACAAGAAGTTACGAATGGTAGAAATCATGGTGACTTACCTGCTCTTGCAAGGCCCGCCGATTATACTTTGGTTTGGACTGCAGATGACCAACATGGAGAGGTCTATGAAGGGTGCGGCTTTTTTTGGTTACCCGTACCACCTGAGGGCTATAAACCTATGGGATTCTTGGTTACTAGCAACTCAGACAGACCACAATTGGATGAAGTCAGATGTGTTCGCTCAGATTTGACAGATGAATGTGAAACATATCGTCGAATTCTTGATGTGTATTCTACATTCCTAAACTTCCCGTTTGGAGTTTGGAGCATAAGACCTTGTGATCGAGGAATGAAAGGAAGAGGAGTCCCGGTGGGTACTTTCTTTTGCAGCAGCCACTGGAAACCTGGTGAGGAGTTGAATATTGCATGCTTAAAGAATTTAGATTCCAGATTGCATGCCATGCCAAATCTTGAACAGATACATGCCATTGTTCACCATTATGGTCCTAGAGTTTACTTTCATCCTGATGAAGTATATCTACCATCATCGGTTTCATGGTTTTTCGAAAAAGGAGCAGTTTTGTGTAAAGCAGATAATTCTGATCGTGTTCGCATAGATATCAATGGGTCTAATTTGCCTGGAGGTGGCATGAATGATGGGGCATTTTGGATAGATTTGCCATCTGATGAACAAAGAGATTCTTTAATACATGGAAATTTAGAGAGTGCTAAACTTTATGTTCATGTGAAACCTGCTTTTGGAGGGACATTTAGCGATATGGCGATGTGGGTTTTTTGCCCCTTCAATGGACCAGCAACACTTAAACTTGGACCTCTTAGCTTCTCTTTAAGCAAGATAGGACAGCATGTTGGTGATTGGGAACATTTCACTCTTCGTATATGCAACTTTACTGGTGAGCTTTGGGGTGTCTACTTCTCTCAGCACAGTGGTGGTGAATGGGTTAGTGCTTGTGATCTAGAGTACACGGAAGGCAATAAACCGATTGTTTACTCTTCAAGAAATGGGCATGCAAGTTATCCTCACCCTTGTACCTACATCCAAGGGTCTGCAAAACTTGGGATTGGAATAAGGAACGATGCAATCCGTAGCGACAAATACATAAGTTCAAGCGCTCGATACGAGGTTGTCGCGGCAGAGTACTTGGGAGATGATGTGGTCGTCGAGCCTTGTTGGTTGCAGTTCATGAGGAAGTGGGGTCCGAGACTTGTGTATGATTCAAGAGCTGAGCTTGAGAAAATAATTAAACGGTTTCCCTTGAGGATGAGATACTCAATCGAGGGGATATTTGCCAAACTCCCAATGGAGTTATCTGGGGAGGATGGTCCAACAGGGCCAAAGGAAAAGAACAATTGGGTTGGAGATGAGAGGTGGTGAGCATGTATTTGTCTGGGATTTTTTGTTTCATAGGTTTTTGGATAGTGATTAATCAAATTCAAAGCTTTAGAATGTACATAGAACAATGAAGAATTTGTATACATTGATGGGTTTCTTCTTTAAGTTAGTAGTTTATAATAGAAGGAATATACAAAATTCATCATTAAAAAGATGTGCTGAAAGTGCAAAAACTATTCAACATTAAGCGCACTACAAAGTACAAAGTACAAACTCACTAGGTAATAAGCAATAAAACTATATTTAGATTGCCAAAAAATTTGTTGATGTTAAGACCAAATATGCAATTAATTTTACAATTTTATTAATGTGGGTGCTCTAATCTCACCGAAAAGGCACCTGAAAGCTTTTTGTGCGACAGAAAACAATGTGGTTTGTGTGCAAATACATTTACTGAATAGTGTTAGTAAAAACTAATCAACAACTTAAGGTAGAAAGAATCTCCCACTTGAATTAGATTAATGGAAAAAATGTACTCAAAGGAGGAGATAATATCATGCATCTCAAACACCGCCATCAACCAAAAACAGAGCAACACTCGGGGTACTAATTAAAAGCAAGTAAAAGAGTTTCTAAGGAATCCCACACAAACAAAGATTTGACCAAATACACCACAGCCTCCGCCAAGACCAAAAAGACAAGACCAAAAAAAAAAAACATGGGTTTCAGCCGGTGTATATGATTGTGAAACAAACTGTTCCAATCAAGAAACGGAGCAACTCAAGAGCAGAGCTTCAGATTCTAGCTAGGCCAAACCATCCCATCTCATCCCACTTCCGGTTCATCGCGACACGCGCTGCGAGTAACCATTGCCCCTCGATCTACTGCTATTGTTGTTGTATTCGCCATCTTGGGTACCCGCTCTGCCCAAACCACGGCCGCCAGCACCACCGTAGCGGCCCCTCGGGGCATCGGTCATGGGGTACCCACCTCTGCCCCTTCCCCTTCCTCCTAAGAAATCAACCAGACAAGAGAGATGGAGGGTCAGTTCCTGCAATTGCTGTCACAAGCTTTGCTCTCTAATACTCTTCCCAAATATAGTATAGTTGGAGCAGAAGATTGATAAAATCACAATTGACATACACACCCCACTCACAAGTCACAACACAAATAAAAGAAGTATATATCTACAGTCTACTGCCAACCTCCAACACCTAATCGTAGTAGGGCATAGATGCAGTCATTCACCAAAATATAACAGGAATTGAATACACTAATAAACAATACATACTTCCGCCACGAGCGCCAATGCCCCCAGCAGTCGGTCTCCGTTCCTCGATGTAGACTTGTCTCCCAGCCAGTTGTATGGGAGATGACTGCAAGGAGAAAGTAACAAATGAATTGAAGAATATTCAGGATAGCAAGCTGAACCAAATAAGAAGTAAAAACATAACAAGAAGTTCAATCTAGATAATATACGAACCTTTATTGCGTTTTGAACACTCGCAAGGTCTTCAAACTCGACGAAAGCATAGCACACACCAATTACGTCCTAGAAAAGAGTAAAACACTTTATCTCAGATCACTTACAAAGAATGGTATCATCCATCTAGTGCCAACGAATATAAGAAAATAAACTTACTTTTCGGTTCCTGACGAAGACACCATCAGGCCTGATTCTACCAAAGTTTCTGAACTCCTGTTCGATTTCTGCAGCACTAATATCAGAAGGCAAGTTGCGCACATAAACAGATTTAGGTTCACCTGAAAAAAGAGAATCACAAACCATGTTATTCAGAAAGTAATTATTCAGTATACACAGAAAAAAGAGACTCCAAACTACAATATTTCAAGAACACAACAATCAGCATAAGTTTGCTACAATGTCCACAATGCCAGCATGAACCAGTCACAGAAAGTAAGCAAGGGAAAAATTCACCTTCATCAAGTTCCAAACCGTCATCTGCTTTATCATTTGCAGCCTCGGGCAAAACTGACAACCCTGCGCCTGACTGCTGGGCATTGGGCACCGACATATGATTCCAATCAGAAGAAGCTGGGGCACTCTTAGTAACAGGTTGCTGAGCAGCTACTGATGAAAATGGCCCCTTGGCAACTCTTAGCTGCGATTTATTCAAAGTTTTATAAGATAGATATTATGCATGCAGCAGGTAATAAAAAAAAAAGTAATAAGTAGTAACCCTAAACTTTATGCAGCAAGTAATATTGCCATAAGTTTCTGACATAAAATGCTAAGATAGCAATGCTCTAGAGACCGATCAGACAGAACGAAGAGTAGCTAAAAAGGAAGATAAACAGGACAGAAGGAGGTGCATACAATAGATGCATAAGTTTTCTTTTGTGGTTCTCCCTCAGCTTCCTCCACTGCAGATGCTGAAGGTTCGTGCACAACTTCCACAGCACCCTGGTATGGTGTCTCCTCCTCAACTGTTTCATCCACAGGGATATCATCCTCGAAGTCTTGATGTTGAAGTTCTGGAATGCTGTACTTGTCAACTGGAGTATCTTCTATGTGAACCGAATTCACATAATCTCTAGCTTCTTCCTCCAAAGCGTAGTCAGACACTGCTGGGACAGGGACTACGATAAATTAATAACTGAATAATGTTTTCCACCCTCAAGAATGTTAACTAGATACTGAGACTTGGTTCCACATACTAATGCGCTCTCGGTTAATCAACTTCGAATCAATCATAGCCAAAACAAAAACAAAAAAAAATCATTTACAGATCCATCTAAACAGAATAGAAAAACCAAGCGTAGATGCAGATAACGGAAAATGAACACATTTTTTAAGACTTTAAATGCCGTAACTCTCACTGCAAATATACTCACTATCCAGAACGAGATGAAATTCATCTAACTTGCTTGAAGTATAATAACACATTACCTGGGTGCTCAAGGAGACTAGCAGAAGCATTTTGATGAGGATCAAAAGTATCCTCTGATATGTGTTGCTGATAAATTGACTCAGGAGCCGCTGAATCTGGATGCTGGTGGTAGATGTGTTCAGTTGTGCTAGGGGCTGAGTGCTGCTGGTAGATGTGTTCAGCGGTGCTAGGGGCTGAGTGCTGTTGGTAGATGTTTTCAGGTGTAGTAGAAACAGGATGCTGCTGGTAGATGATTTCACTATCAATGAACTGGAAAATATCATTGAGAACGAAATAACCCTTGTCCTGAGGAGCCAGGAAAAAAGTCTGCACAAACTTCTTCCTGCCGCTGAATTCCTTGGTTTTAACGGAGCCAGAAACCATCACCATAACACCTCCATTCCAAGAGTCGAGAGAATTGATGGTCTTGATCTCTATGGCAGTGAAATTCAGAGACATGATAATATTATGGATATGCTGCAGACAAAACAGAAACTTGGTAAATATCAATGTTGGCAGTAAACTAGGTTGCTAGCAGGGATGTATGAACTATAAAGTCAATACAAAGGAAAATGAGGAAGGGGGTAACGCACTCTCGACAAGTGCAATATACCACACGCCAACTATTTACTATTAAGCACCAAGAGATTCAGAATGAGTATCAAGTACTAATATTAGATCATGATGAAAACAAATCATCAATCCACGGGGCAGCTATAAAAAAAGAGAGAGAAAGCAGTGTGCTTGCTAAACTGCGGTGAAGCCAGTAAGAGTGAGATAAGGAGCAAGAGGGCAGTACCAGCATTGTCGAGGCAGTCTCGCTGTCATCTCCCTCTACGCGGATCATGGTACTGGCTTCGGAGTAGAACTGATAAACGAGATCGGGCTTCTGCTGAAGAACTTGGTAGTACTGACCAACAAAGTACGACCCCACCTGAGAAGAAGAAGAAGAAGAATGAGATCCCTAATCACCATCGCCAAGCCGTAGCAACAACAATCACCTTTTAGTAATAGATACCCACAAGCTAAAAACCAACCCACCCACAAAACACATCCAAGCAGAACCAATCTATCTCCTAATCTGCACTCTAACAGAAAACTACAGCACGCACTTGCACGGCAAACGAAGGCATGGAGAAACCAAATCACCTGAATAGCAGAGACGGGTCCCGGGTACGGAGCGGCCATAGCTATAGCGGTGTGGCTGCTGCTCCTCCTCCTCCACCAACAAAAGAGAGAGAGAACAAAACCAAGAATTCCGGCTCGCTGGTAGATCGGAAGGGATCGGTAGATAAGGTGGAGAAGTCGGGAGAGGTGCGGCGCCCGTCAAACCAGAAAACCCTCCTTAGGGTTTATTGCGGTACTTATATTTATATATATATACGTGAAAAGAAAAAAAAGAGCCGCGCGAGGGGTTTTGCGACAAGAAAGAAATTAATTAAAAAAAAATAACGGAACAAAGGACAGACAGAAAGACGACGGATGAACGGAGCTCTGAGTAAGCACCACCGTGGCGGCGGAGAGTAGGAACGCGGCGGCGGCGGCGGCGGGAGGGGGATACGGGAAAGGAGGAGATCAGATCTACGCAGGCGACGCAGAGAAAAAGAGAGAGCTGAGGCTTTTTTCAGTAATCACTCTTCACCAAGTCCCAAAACGAGAAAGAGAGAGGGCTTTTCCTCTTTTTGCTTTCCTTTTTCTCCTCCCCTAAACCCCCAAAGCCGCTCCACTGTTATCCTCAACCGTTCTGATTTGGTAATTGCGCAGGAGTACACCCTACGCGCGACCGCACCGGAACACACTCTCTGACATCAGAGCCGTCAATTTTTTTTTCCCCGGATTCCGCTGCTGATCGGTTTTATTAGGGTTTAAAGCCGGGGGACTGACGGCTGGCTGACGCCGTAACGGTAACGCGAGCATGAAAGTGGAATCCAGCCATTCTCGTCCCAGCAAGACAGAGAGTATCTGTTTCTTTGACTCGCTTTAGCGTGACAGTATTGCGCCACGTCGGACTGTCACTTGCGTCAGTTGACAGATACATGGGCATTTAGTTTCCCGTTTCAGAGGTCAAAGCCTTACCTAACTCAATTCCCTTGCCCCTTGGCATTTGTTGTTTTTTTTTCTTGTGTTTTGAAACTTCCCTTCCCTTGAAATTTGATGAAATTGCAAGATAAATGAAAAGTGGTGTTTGTTACTATTGAGAACTCAAATACAGAAACGGACAATGGACAACGGATTTACGTGGTATTCTTAGAAATTCCAGGACTGATCCATGGAAGAGGTTGAACACTCTTCGGCTGTAGTTTTACTAGATGATTTTCGGTGATCAATACAGGAATCACAGACTGCGCTATAAGTCTCCAGTTCAACCCTAGCACACACGTCATTTCCATGGGTCGACGTGAGTAGCATGGGCCTAATAGGCCATTAATACAATTGGCCCAATAATTCTACACTACACTACGTCATTTACGATTTAAGTACAATAATCATATTCAACAGCCTCCCCCAAATTGATGCCGGGGAACAAGCATCAATTTGTCAGTCAGGAAACGGTGTCGGCTAGTAGAAAATGACTTCGTAAGCATATCAGCAACTTGATCTTCTGTCCGAACGTAGTGTAGTGCAATAGTATCATCTCGTACTTCATCTCGAACATAGTGAACATGTACCTCGATGTGTTTGGTCTGATCATGTAGAACTGGATTTTCTGCTATTCGGATAGCACTAGTATTATCAACAAAAAGATCCATCAAACCTGTAATTTCCACCCCCATGTCGCGCAGCAAACGTCTCAGCCAAGTCAATTCAGATGTTACATCTGACATAGCTCAGTATTCAGCTTCTGTGGAAGATTTGGACACCTTGTTCTGCTTCTTACACCTCCATGAAATGAAAGAATTTCCGAACTGAACACACCATCCTGTCGTAGACCGTCTTGTATCAACACAACCTGCATAATCTGAATCAGAATAAGCTTGCAGTGTTGTCGTCCCAGATGTTGGAAATAAGAGTCCCAACTCCTTAGTTTCACGCAAGTATCTCAGTATACGATACAGCGCAGCCACATGATCAGTCCGAGGATCCGCCATAAACTGACTAACCAGCTGGACTGCGTAAGAGATATCAGGTCGAGTAGCCGATAAATAAATCAGACTACCTACAATGCTCCGATACTGTGAACCATCCTTTACCTTATCACCTGACTCCCTGCTCAGTTTCAAATTAAGCTCCATTGGAGTATTTACCGGAACACAGTCTTCCATATTGTAATCTCCCAACAGGTCTGAAATATACTTCCGCTGACATAAAAATATTCCAGCTGCAGAACGTGAAACTTCTAAACCCAGGAAGTAAGAAAGTTGACCTAAGTCTTTAATTTGAAATGAAACCTGCAACCCATCTTTAAGTAGCCTAATGCCTTCTGAGTCAGATCCAGTGATGATCATATCATCCACATACAGCAAGAGAAGAACAATACCTCTGGAAGTGGTCTTGATGAATAGAGAAGGATAGTTAAGACTTTGACTGTAGCCGAGACCAACCAGAGTGTCTTGAAATTTCTCGAACCAAGCCCGAGGTGCCTGTTTTAAACCATACAAGGATCGACGAAGCCGACATACCTGTCCTGGCCTCCCTACATTGTATCCTGGAGGTTTTTCCATGTAGATCACCTCATCAAGATCACCATGCAAGAAGGCGTTCTTCACATCGAGCTGAGACAGTGACCACTTATTCATAGAAGCAACAGCCAGCAGAGTACGAACAGTCGACATACGAGCTACTGGAGCAAAGGTCTCATTATAATCCACCTCGTGCTCCTGAGTATAACCCAAAGCCACCACTCTGGCTCTGAAGCGTTCAATAGTCCCATCCGGATTCATTTTAATCGTATAAACCCAACGACTGCCAACTGTGGGAGTGTCCGGAGTAGGACGATCAACAACATCCCAGGTGTGATTCGCATGGAGAGCATCGAATTCACTCCCCATCGCCTCCTCCCACCGGGGATCGCCCTGTGCATCCTTGTACCGAGTCGGAGTGACTAAAGTATCAACACCCAACGCCATATAATCGTCAAAGTGCGGCGAGGGAACACCCTTTGTTGACCGAAGGGAGCGCCTAGGTTGTGGGGCAGGTGATGAAGTGGACGCACCACTAGAGATAAACCCATGAGAACTTGAAGCACCAGGTGAAGAAGAACTTGAAGAATCACCAGAAGCTGCCGCAGATGAAGTGGCAGGCGAGGATCCGGGAGAGTCCATATCGTCAGGAGGAATAGCAGGAACAAAGTCTTCGGCAGGCTGATCATCATAGGGAAACATAGGAAGAACACTAGACGAGGGAAAAATGGACTCGGAATTAGACTCGGGAGCAAAGAATTTCATGTGTTCAAAAAACACCACAGTACTTGCCACTCGAATACGCTGAGCTACAGGATCAAAACACATATATCCTTTATGTACATCACTATAACCCATAAAAGCACACTTCGCAGTTCGGGATGTCAACTTAGTACGTTCTCTTTTGGGAAGAAGAACAAAGCATAGATACCCAAACACACGAAGGCGAGAATAGTCAGGAAGCCGAGCAAATAGTTTGAAAAAAGGACTTTCATTTCCAAGCACCGGAGTGATTTGATAATTGATCAAACGAACTGCCGTGACAACAGCCTCAGGCCAGAACCTAGACGGGACAGAAGAAGCTAACAACAAGGCTCTAGTCAACTCAACTACATGGCGATTTTTCCTCTCAACCAAACCATTTTGCTGAGAAATACCAGGACAAGATTTTTGACTCAAAATACCACGAGAGCGATAAACTTCACGCAAAGGAAAAGAACTAAATTCTCCTCTTGGATCAGAACGAATGATTTTCACAGGTTTATTGAATTGAGTTTGAACCATGTTCAGAAATTCAATGGCCACTGATATTCGGCTTTAATATATCGGATTCTTGGACTTTATGTGATTATCTCATGGTATGTTTTAGCCAATTGGTGCTATTTTAGGGCTCGCTAACCCGAGATTGGTTGAAAAACCATTACTGCCTAGTGCTATGAGTTTGATGTATTACAGGTGAAGAAAACACGAAAAAGAAGTTGCACCGGTAAACATTTCTCGAAAGCTGGGCTTAAAGCCCAGCTGGATGGGGTTAATGACATGGGAGAGGGCGGCCATTTTATTGTGGGCCAGAAAACTCTACGGAGGGGGGAAGGTAATTCTTGGACGGGAGTGATTAATTTGGCCAACAGGCAATTTTATTGGTGGCTCATTCTTTGGGTGGGCGATTGAATCTGGAGACGGAATTAAAGAAAATAAAGGCAAAAGAGAGTCTTGGACACGGAAGGGAATAAAAGCAATTTGAGGCGGACACAGAAAAAAAAAAGGAGCAGGGAGTGATTATTGTGAAAGAGGAAGAGAAAAGAAGCAGGCGGAAGTCTCTTTGGAAAAAAGAAAGGGAGGAGCAGCCAATCAGGACGGAACGAATTCTTTTGGCGATTGCAGGAGGAGCGGAATTAAGTGGAGAGCAAGCAGCATCGCAGCGACGAAGGAGCTTGGCACGAGCTGATCGCCTGGCATAATTCAAAATCAGTATTTTCTTTCCTCGATTAATACGATGATGATTATGAACATAATTGTGTGTTTTATTTTCGTCATGAACTAAACCCCAATTTCTGGGGGAAACACCATAGGATGTAGCTATTGCTTGATTTGATGGGTTGATTCATGATTCTTTTCCTCCAATCTCTATTGCATGGAATTGCTTAATGCTTTGTGTTACTGGCCACCAATACAATGATTTGTAGTTAATTAGGTTATTAGCGACAGTGAAACCCTATTAACTGAACCTGTTTCATGTGACATAGTAACTTATCGAAGCGACAGTGGATTAAATAAGGTGCTATGCGGTCTTAAATAGGATATCGATCTTCAGGCTATATAGTTAATTCATTGAGCTACGACAGTAGGATTTGAATTGATTATTTAGTACGTAGTAATTCCCGACAGGGATAGCTAGCATAGTAGTGATATCCTGGCTGTAGAGGTATGGATTAAATTGATTGGAATATGTGAATTAATCTGGATAGGATAGGTAGTGAATCCCGGTGTTTCTCCCAGAGCTTTCTCCCATTGAATTTTCCTCGACAAGTTTACTTTGCTTAATTAGTTTAATTATTTTGCTAATAGTTAATAATTTCATCTCTTAAACATTTTCACATATAGTTTGCTCGAAAGAATTGATAAATCATAAGGTTGTACCAGTCCCTGAGAGACGATACCCGGACTTTCCGGTTTTACTACAAGATAGGATTAAGGCATACGCTTTTGCCCTATCAAGTTTTTGGCGCCGTTGCCGGGGACTGCCATACCTTATTTTTGTTGATTTTTGTGAGTGAACTATTTTGATCTGGGTGTTAGTGTGCAGAAGAATTTCAGGTTTATCCTCCTCGTGCATGCCAAGGAGGACGACTGGCAATTTACTGCCACTAGATCCGGAGATCGAGAGGACCTGCCGACAGAACAGGAAGCAGGTCAAGTTAGGGAAGCAGCCAACCACAACTACTAGGCCTTCCCTAACCCAGAGAGGGCAGGCTTCATCAACTGTCATCCCTACACCACCACCACCACCTCGTGACATCGAGCCTGTCATCATGGCTGAACAGGATCGTTCGATCAGGGCTCGTCTGAATCGGAGGACTGGAGCCCGAGCTTCATGTGTTGTCATTCCGGCTGGGGATGCAAACATGGAGATTGCCCCAGCCTTCATCAATATGATCACGAATGGGTACACCTTCTCCGGGGCCAGCACCGAGGATCCTCATGAACATCTCCGCCGGTTTGCAAACATTTGTGACACAATGAAGAGCCCGGCTGTGTCTGATGATGCCATCCGTCTTCGGATGTTCTCATTTTCTCTGCTTGGGAATGCATCACACTGGTTCCAAAACTTAACACCCCGTTCCATCACGACATGGGGTCAGCTTGAGAAGGTATTTCTGGATAAATACTTCCCACCTGCCTTGGCAATGAAGAGGCAAGAAGAGATTGTTACTTTCAAGCAGGCTGATGATGAGAGTCTGACTGAGGCATGGGAGCGCTATAAGGGGCTATTGATGAGATGCCCAAGCCATGGTCTTGAAGATTGGAACGTGATCATTATTTTCTTCAATGGAATCAGAAGGGAGTTCCGGGATGCCCTGAATAATGCTTCTCGAAATGGTTTCACAAGCATGGAGGCACCAGCAGCATATGATCTGGTAGAGAAGATCTGTTCAGAAGCCACTGAATGGGGTAGTGAGGCCAGTATTCGAAGAAGAGGAGGCTTGCATGAGATAAACAGAGTTGCGAGTCTAGAAGCCAAGATAGATGCTAAGCTGGATTCAAAGTTCGATGCACTCGAACGAAGGCTGGCTAAGATGGCTCTTGGTAGACAAGAGGAGGTTGCTTCATGTGAACTTTGCGAAGGTCCTCATCATAGGGATATGTGTCCGCTGGGAGCTGCTCAGTTGGAAGATGTCCAGTATATCAATAATCCGCGAAGTCAAGGCCAGGGTGGTATGTATTCAAATACATATAACCCTCAATGGAGACATCACCCCAATATGTCATGGTCAAACAATAATCCAGCTGGTGTTCGAAACATCCCACCTCCTGGTTTTCAACAACAGCAGCCTCAACCAGAGAAGAAGCCCCAGCTGGAGGAGTTGATTTTGGCTCATATGCAGAAAACAGACAATAATTTCAAGGGCCTGGATCAATTTGTCACTCAACAGCTAGCCATCAACAATAATTTACAATCTTCTATGCTAGCTATGGAGAGGCAGATGGGACAGATGGCTCAAACTTTGGCGGATATGCAGGGCAGGATTCCTGGGACATTACCGGCTAATACCGAGAGGAATCCGAAGGATGCCATGGTTGTAGCAGTGACATTGAGGAGTGGAAAGGCCTTGGAAGACCCTAGCAGCTCCAAAAAGGCACCAGAGGCAGAAGAGGAAGCACCGGAAGAAAGATCTTGTGCAGAAAATGAAGAATCAGCCTTGCACAGGCAAAAAGAAAGCGGTTTGCCTGTGCAAAAGCATGCTGCCCGTGTACCTCAAAAAGTGGAAAAATTGAAGAATGAAGAGGTAAAGCCTTATGAACCTCCCGCACCATTCCCTCAAAGGTTAATGAAGCCCATGGAAGACCCAAACTTCAAGAAATTTGTGAATATCTTCAAGCAACTTCAGATTAACATACCCTTGGCGGAGGCACTTGAACAGATGCCTACATATGCTAAATTCTTAAGGGAGTTGCTGACAAAGAAGCGGAAATGGGCTGATCTAGAGAAGGTAACCCTTACTTCTGAATGTAGTGCTGTGATTCAGAATAAATTACCAGAAAAGAGGGATGATCCGGGCAGCTTCACCATTCCATGTGTCATTGGAGGTACAGAATTCAATAAATCACTTTGTGATCTTGGAGCAGGAATTAATTTGATGCCATACTCAGTCTACAAGAAATTGGGATTGGGAGATGTTCTTAAGCCTACTCGGATCACTCTCCAATTGGCTGATCGATCAGTAAAAATTTCAAAAGGAGTGGTGGAGAATGTATTGGTGAAGGTGGGGAAGTTTATTCTCCCAACAGATTTTGTAATTTTGGAGATGGAAGATGATCGGGGAGTGCCTCTAATTCTCGGCAGACCTTTTCTAGCAACTGGAGATGCACTCATCGATGTTGGGAGAGGCAAGTTGACATTCCGAGTAGGTAAGGAGGAGGAAATTTTTAATGTCTTTCAAGTTGATCATAATCACGATGCATTTGATGACTTTGAAAGTGGAGCTCGAGAAAGGAAAAATTCCTCTTCCTGTGATAGTGGATCAGTTGAAGAATCACTTGTCCTATCAGCTCAGATTCTGAAATCAAAGCAAGGACAGAAATCCTTACCAGGTCACCTCAAGTATAGATATTTGGGTAAGGATTTCAATCTTCCTGTTATTATTCCTTCTTCACTGACATTGAAACAGGAAGAGTACCTGCTTGAGGCGCTGCAGTACCACCTACGCCTCACTAAAGGGTCCAACATGCAAGCTAAGAAGGTCATACCCAATTTTCGCACACCTGGCCCTGCTGAGGTGACTCATATGTTGGATGGAGGTTATGCGTTCTATCATTGCTCGGGAGGGTATTCTGGATACCTTTCCATACCCATTGGTTGAAAACTCCATAAACGTCAGGCTGAGGACGTTAAACAAGCGCTTCTTGGGAGGCAACCCAAGGTAAGTTTTCTTTTCTTTATTTTTCTTTTTTGTTGTGTCAAACCCGTGCATGTTTAGATTAGGAGTTGAACATTAGGGACAATGTTCCATCCTGAGTGTGGGGTGGTGAGTCTTAGTGTTGTTTGTCCATGTTGCATGTGGTAAAAAAAAAATCCAAAAAAAAAAACAAAAAACAAAAAAAAATTGCCATTAGGTTGAGCACAGCCAAACTGCATGCAGTTTGCCTGTGTAAAAAGCAGTCTGCCTGTGTAAAAAGCAGTCTGCCTGTGTTAAGCTAATGGCTAAAAAACACCTAAAAATCAAAAAAATTAAAAACAAAACCTTGTACTCTTGTAGTAACATGATGTAAATGACCATGATGCCTTGAAAACGAGTTTGTGCTTGAATGAAATCATCAAAATCACCCCACTAGTGTTGAAATGAGCTTGAATGTTTTGACTGACTTGATATGCTTTGAATGAGCAACTCTTTTAGCAACATTCTCTTTTGTGAGGATAGTGTAATGACTTTTGGTGAAGTGGTTAGGTGGAGAACATTGACCATTCGATATGTGTAGATACCGTGCTTACTTGCATTAATTGTGAGCTTTTGATTTGGGAATGAGTCTCTCTGTTTTGAATGTTTTATGATGGGGTGAACTGTATCTTTATAAAAGAAAACACTACCTGACAAGTAAAATATAAGAAAGTTGCCATAACAATTAAAGTGTGGGTAAAAATGCCAAAATTGTGTGAGGCAATCACTCATTGCACATGGGGATTAGGAAAGATTCAATTGAGAATCGGTTCGCGACCGTACGATGTTGCTTATCAAGTACGATCCCCAGTTGAATGAAGTGCCATTAGAGGATGTTAAATGACCCTCCACACGGACCGAGGAAAAGGAGTTGAAAGAAGCCCTTATGCGAGTGCTAAGAAGCAGAAATTGCTCTTGCTCGGTCACCGGTAGTAAGAAACAAATCCCACTTGTACTAAATACGACCTCTCGGCAAGCAAAAGCAGAAAGAGAGAAAGCCTCTCCTTGTCATAAAAGGTAGTGATGTGCTTAAAGTTAAAATCTTGTTTGCGAAAGGCTTCCCCCATTAGTTTTTGAGACTCATGCTTAATTAATTGCTTATGATTGGTGTGAGTAAGCCAGACTGTCCTCACGAGATATGCACCTCACTGATGTGGTTAGATTCTCCTAATAACTATTGCACCATAAGTTGTTAATCACCCGCTACTGACGACCTGAATTGAGTGTTGCTAATTGAGTTTTTGGTGGATTTGAGTCAGTCATTGGTAATGGTTGCAAAGACCTTGAGTGTGGGGTGAAAGATATGATCATTAAAGCACAACTCGTCCTTTAAGAAAGAAATTACTGATTACAACAAGAGTACAAGGAAAATTTTGTTTTGTTTGAGTGTTTGATTAGTGAGTCTGTGGTGTGTCATTGTTATGATTGGTTTTGTGTTTGTGTCATTTGAGTCGTTGCTTAGGGACAAGCAACAATTGAGTGTGGGATTGTGATATTCGGCTTTAATATATCGGATTCTTGGACTTTATGTGATTATCTCATGGTATGTTTTAGCCAATTGGTGCTATTTTAGGGCTCGCTAACCCGAGATTGGTTGAAAAACCATTACTGCCTAGTGCTATGAGTTTGATGTAT